GTCATTATGAAATCAAAACTCGTTTTTTCTTATTTCAGACATTCTGTATAGCAGTTTTCATGTTTCTGAAAAAGAATATAATATTGAAAGATATAAAGTATAAATTAAGGTCAGACAATTACAATATCTTCTCTAGTGTGCCAGATGGAGGTACATAAAAGTGGCAGAGTCGGGATAAGGCCGACCACTTCAAATTATCTTTCATTTACTGCTGTAGTTGAAATCCAATCATTACTTTGGATTCTTTGTATGTGAGGAATTTATCAAGCTAATTTACGGAAGGTCGGTGGTTCTAGTCAGGTGCCCGCTCGTGTCTGAAATAATTCACAAAGGGTATCTTGGGTCTTTCTTTACACTAAAGCAGGAATGTTTTCACATGACCTCAGTGTCGTTGAAATTTAAAATCCAAGAAAACCAAACGTAATAAACCCTTTTAAATACTTACAAAATACATTATGGTAGATGGAAATTCCAACTTAAAATAAAATTTAAGGTTGAAATATTGCTCACTTAAATACTGTTTAATCATTCTTCGGGTATTGCCTGCTTGTTAATTGTGTCTTTTAAGAGCTTATCTATGGTATGCAGGCTTCATAACCCCGATCCCCTCTCAAAATTTCCTTTTATTTAGTTTCACTCATTGTATTCTCGTTTAGGGCACACGAAATTTTTAACCTGGGGGTAATATGCCGCTTTTCATAGAATGGCAATAACGTGTCACATTGAAGGTTCCATGATAACCGCCATATGTACACATCCACAGATGTTAAAAAATCTAAAGTGTACCAGTTCATGTTTAATGTGAATTCTGCTGAAGGCGTGGACGGTAGCTTGCAGTTACCACTACCGTCCATGAACAGGTTTAATCAAACTGATCCTGCAACATTTTCATGTTTTCCGTGTTGGACTTCTGTTAAGGATTTTTTTCTCTATTTTATTACTAATAAGCATTATTATAATGTGTAATGAAATCAAGCAATAATCTTTCTTCTCTCAATACAATTCGATAATAGTTACTGTTGTTGTCGTGAAAACAGTCCTTACTTAGGACATTACTTATTCTGCAAAAAGTCTCAATCTGAAACTTAAAGTAAGAAAAATAGCAAACTATAACTTTTCTACTGAAGAAAAAAAGTAATACACCCTTTCAAGAATGTATTAAATGGAAAGGTATGAGTTAAATAATTATTTCAAAAAAATAATGGATACACGAACTTTGTTTGAAATTTGGCAAGTATCTAAACTGTAACCGAAATCCGGGTATAAACTGTAACAAAATTGGATCAAAGTCGCTAGGTCTATGCTGTAACCTTTCAAAATTAACCTCGCTCTATACTGTAACATTGTTTATTTTTTCAAACGCATTTTACCAACAGGAAAATAGGTTCAACTGGTCATTTACTTTTATAAACGTTTCTAAACACAAAGGACTTACGTTTTGTAGATTTACTTTATCTAGGCATGCTTAAATAATGTCGAAATTGGAGAAAAATGCGTTGGTCTCTCGATTCAAATTTTCAAACTGTCAAATCTGCATATTTATGAGACAATATAACGATAAAACTGCGGTGCAGAGTCTGAAGAAATATATGACTAGATACCGGATTCTGTTCCTTACAAGCAAAGCACAAAAGCATCTTTTAGAAACTAAACTACTAGTAGTATGGACCTGAATAAAAATCTACCTACATCTCTTCCCATAAATAATCCTCCATCTTGAAAATTCTATACTGTAACCGAAAAACGCGATACTGTAACACGTTCCCTACGGTATATTAACGCTGTACAGACGTTTAAACAGTTCTGTACGTGACGTCACAATGTAGCGCCAAATATCGCGTGCAAAACAAGACGCAATTATATATTACTGCGCGCTGTACAATTGCAGTTGCGTAGCAAGCAATAGGTTTCGTAACATTTTTCTTTGATAATGAAATTAAATAGAAAGGTTATTTTTTCGTTTTTCGTGAAATATGGTATATATTTTCACTCAACATCATAAAATGCCACATATTTTATCATGTTTCGTGAAAATATATTCCATATTTCACTCAAACGAAAAAAATATCCTCTCAATATTTTTAAAAAAATATATTTTTTAATCCTTATATAGTTTCATACTCTTCAATCGTTTTCCTATATCCAAGTGACGCATTTCAACTATGCAAGAGATGGTTAAATTCTTATCATTGTATACGAAGATTTTTTGTCAGAATCGAATGCATATATGCAGTAATGTTCGAGTTAATTACTTAAATTCACCATTGCACCGGTTATTATCAAAATAAACTATTCTAAACTTATGGTGTATCATTAAGATAACATCAAATAATTAGTAAAGTTGTTCAATATTGATAAAATCTATTATTTCGCCCTATGCAGAGTGCGCATACGCGAAATGCTGCTTCCGTTTCTATGGATATATCGTATTGTAAAAAAATGTATTTATATATTTAATGTTTTAATTGATCATCTCTGACATACGACGCAATATTATATTGATACTTTTAGAGATAAAGCTAGTGTATGCGCTTTTTTTTCTCTAAATATATGTCCTTTAATTATCATGGGTTATAGGCCTTTCTTAATTAGGCCGTGTATGTAAGGAATCCAACAATGAAGTGCAATTTATTAATAAATTTAACGTCAAAGACCTACAAAATATATATATAGAGTCACTTTTTAAAGTTTTTTATTTTATAATTTTTTATATGATTACTTATACTTTAATCAGAAATGATTAACATGATATGTCCATCATTTTACATAGCTTAAAACAGTAATACACAAAAGATTGTAATATCTTAATTTCATAAATCAAATATCATCTCAAATTAATTAAGGCAGTTTAACAGTACATGAATATAAACAGTAAATAACAATTGTAATCATCAGTATGATCTATAATCTGCAGTAATCTGAAAAAATATACAATTATTATCTAACTGACCTTATATTCACAGATCATTTATTTTTTAACTTTACCATTTTTTTGTTAACTTACTTGTAATATAAAAAAGCACATGTATTTATTATACCTACAAATACATTCAGGCAAAACAAGGGAATTAAGTGACCTAATGTCGTTGAGCGCGTTATTTAAAAAAATCTGCACGGGACTGATTAATATAAACATCAAAAGACAAAAAGAAGCCCGACCTTATGGAGTAAACACTAAAGAATAACGCGACAGACGGCACGCACCGCAACGGCGGGCGTTGCTCAATGACGTTATATACATCACTTTCCTTTTTTTGTCTGAATTAATTAATATATTTGTATGTATAATAAATGTCGTACGCTGAAGAAGGTCGAAAGCTAATATTCCAAATTCAAATCTATACATCTTCCATTGAGTCAAACATCTGCTGGGGACCTAGACTTTTCACGTCACTAGTCAGACGGATAAAAACATGTACATTAAAGCAGAATTAGAGTTTAAAATGATAAAAACATGGCAGATGTGTCTAGGGGGAGACATGTTCAATGGCACCAGATATGAGAGTAAAGTATTCCAGTGGAAAATTGTCCTATGGAGATATGAATATTTGTAATACTAGTAGTCAGTTTAGTTTGGATCTGTTTGAAAACATGGGAATCATGGGAGGTACGAGTTATAATTGATCTTAATTGAAACATTACTGGTATGAGATAATCTGGCAGGGGAAAGGCAACCTTATTTGAAATAAATGATCAGACACGTACTGATCTATGCGTCTTTGTTCTAATTAGGCTTCTTCACCCTAGGGAGTCAAGCATAGCGCAAAACACTTGATGTACTAGTGTTTGCCATTTTCATGGCATTAAATTAAGCAGTGTGCTTGATTGCAAGGACTTCGGGAATAATTTGGACAAATTGGGGATATTTCTTTATTGACCGTCTTTAAAACAAATGATATTATTTGGTCTAGTCATGCAGCCTTAATTGTGGAGATTGAGCTTCTCAATGCCTTTCTTAGAGATTTGGATATCATTAATTGGTTGATGGGGGCTATAGTTTTGGTATTATTAGGGTATCTCTGGCGTGGTATCTGCCATATATCCTTGACTTTCATTCAAGCCAATGATTTGAGACACAGAGCTAGGAGACTTTGATGAAAAGACATATTGAAATTTAGTGGTTATGAATTGTGGCTTTGCATGTCTGCAGTGTGGAATTTGTTTTGGTTATTTCAGAGTCTTAAATTGTTGGGAATTCTTGAGCAGTGTGTACATATAGTTTTTTTTTAATTATTTTTATTATTCAGTTTATGTTGAGATTGCTTTTGATTTATAAATATAAAATTATCTAGGCAATAATCTAGGGTCGTTAAAATTCTCAGACCATTAATAATATCTTAATTTGCATGTATACATTCTTCAGAAAATTTATAAATAATGTCAATTGTTATTTTCTCACTTTAAAAAGATGTGCATCATTAATTATCATTTGTTTGTAAGCAATGTATTTTGTTTTATGCTTAATAAATTCGTACATAATAAGTCGTATTTTAATTTTTGTTGAATATAGAAATTATTTAAATAATCAGATTAATATCTTTGAATATCTAAGAAACTGACGAAATATATTCGAAAATCTAATAAACATATCAACATTAAAACAAAAAAAGGATGTAGACAGCTTTGAAAAACCGGAAAAAAGCTAGTTTAAAGTTTCAGAATTATATGAATGGAAATTAACTGGATTGAGAGTCTGCTGGTCTGCACAATCAAATTAAGTGGGTTATTCATTTTGTTGGAAATGGTTTAGAAGTTTACATTTTCAATTCTAAATGAAATAAACATTGATCATATATATTACGTATATTAAAATGTAAAAAACAATACATGTTGCATTGCATTGATCTGAATAAATAAACAAAATAATGTCCAATTAAACTTCCATAACAGACACTTTTAAATGATCGAACGCTTGGCCAGGTCGTATCCCTAGCCAATTACGCATGCGCTGTAATCGTAGTGCTCAAATAATCTCATAGACAAAATTTTGATGAAATTATAAATTCTTGTAAATTGATAAGCACTTATAACTTTTAAACAATAAAAAACAAATATTAAATCGTAATTTACCTTATGAGGCAAAAACAAAATCTCTGTACTTTGCCCCAGATAAATTATCGAGATTATAAATGGCGGTGAAAACTTCTCGATTTGAAAAATGTTTTGCCTTAATTTAGAAAACTTTTTATTTCTATATTTATCACTTTGGACAGTTGCAAATGGATCCGATTCTTCAAAAATGGAATGTTCTAAACCACAGTGTATGTTGCTAATTGTATACATTACTACGTAATTTTCATTTTGTCATTTGTTTTCGCGATGTTCAGCCGTCAAACTCGTAATGATTTTCTTCCGATTGTTGTTTGTGTCGTTCATCTAGTAATGTTAAATTCCATGAAAGACATAATAAATATTATTACAAACGTGGAAAGATGTTTTCTTTAATTATAATTGCATTTTTGGTAATGAAAGAGTTGTCAATGATTTGGTTAATAAAAACTTATTACACTTAATCCTTGGGACATTGAAAAATATATTGCATGTTAATCAATGCATTACATGTTGTTTTATGTCTATAAGAATTAGGGTGATTCCGCTTTGTCAGTCATGTTTGTTTTCACAAAGTCTGTCCAAAGTGAAAGTAGGCCAAAATTCATATAACACAAAGCCAACCTTGTAATATGATGAGCCATTTGCAAGTACACTTCCAGAACTTTCTTTGTTTTAAAGACTATTTTAAACAAAAATAAAAATGATAACAATAAGAAAATTTACTTTGAATGGGCTAAATTTCGAGTGTAGGACAAAAGCCCCCCCCCCCATGTAAGCCCCCCCCCCCCATTTAAAAATGACAAGGTGGACAATGAATTATATATACAAATTACACAATAAGAACTTTTGTACCTTTTAATTTAAATCTAAATGTAAATTATCTTTCAAAACAATTGCATTTATTTGTTAAATTAAACATACAGATTTTGACTTGTGTCAATACATCAAGTACCAGATTTAAACTGACGAGATTCTTATTAACAATTGTTTGATGGACTGGGGGGGGGGGCTTTTGTCCTACCTGTATTTTTGATTGGGGGGGGGGAGGGCTTTTGTCCTACGTGTAAATTTCATGGGTGGGGGGGCTTTTGTCCACCTTGTAGCTTTTGTCCGTATCCCCTAAATTTCTGATGACCAAGAACATTCTGTTGCAAAGTTTTATGCACATTTCATGAATGGCAAAATCCAGTTAAAAGTCTGTTTTAGTATCAAAAATACAAAAAACTTTAAAAAACATAAATCTTAGGAAAGTAGTTTATCTGACCTTGAAAAAACATGGCCACCATGACATGTGTAAAAAAGTAGTACCATGAAAATAAACATAATTTACCTATTTATTGTGTACATGACAATCAGACACACTTCACTGTTACACATAAAAAGATTAGATTTTAAAGTTTGATTGTGTTTTCATTTTAATTGTAGTTCATAAGGCTATAAATGATGATTGTCTTCTTGCACTACTTTTTTACAAAAAGAATGGAGGCCATGTGCTTACAGGGTTGTCATTAAGAGGCGGCAGGAGGCCAAAATGCCTGTCTCAAATGCATTATGTGCCGCCTCAAAATTAAGAAAACACTCTTTGTTATGCATGATAAAGACAGAAATGACCGCCTCAAGTTCAAAACAAACCTGCTGCAAAAAATGTTAATGACAACCCTGGCTTGGAAAGACATGAGATACAGATTTATTTGGAGTAAAGTTTTGAAAGATTTTTGTATTTGCTGCAAAAAAATAGCATTTGTTGGCACTAAAACAGACTTTAAAAAGGATTTTGCAATTCATGAAATGTGCATAAAACTTTGCAACAGAATGTTCTTGGTCTTCAGAAATGTAGCATATTCAAGGTAAATATTCTTATTGTTATCATGTTTATTTTTGTTTATAATTGTCCTTAAAATATAAACCTGGAAGTGTACTTTCAAATGTTTCATCATTTTACAATGTGAGCTTTGTTGTTATATTAATTTTAGCCTACTTTCACTGTGGACAGACTTTGGGATTTAAACCAACCAAATTAGGAGTCCAAAGCTCTACCTCTTTATCACTCTTCATACATGCCATGACGTCCGGGAAAGTCCCGGAAATAACTTGGTGTCTGTCCCGGAGATGATATTATATATGTCCCGGTAAAAAAGAATATCTAAAATAATCTACTTTGTAGACAGAAATTTTACATTTTTTATATAATCTTATTGTCAAGTTATTATTAACTATTCTGGATTCTGGAACGCTAATAACGAACAATTATCCCCATCCAGCACATTGCAATATACAGTAAAAGGTGACACTTATCCTTTGATTGGTAAATCTATGTGCCCCTTCCAACTAACAATTATCGGGCCGGCAACCTCCAGGGTCAAGGTCCCACTTGCTCATTCAAGGTCAACATTGTCTATTTGAGGGTATATGTCGTGTCCGGTCCATAACTTTCTTATCTTTGAAGGGATTTTGTAAATACTTGCCACAATTGTTCACAATTATGAGACAATGTCATTATGTGTCATGTGAGCAACAACCGGTCACCTACCTCCAAGGTCAAGGTCAAAGATTTACATAATCTGTTATAAGGTATATTTTGTGTCAAACTTTTTCATAGGTCAAGTGATTTTAAAAATACTTGGCACAAATAATCACAATAATAAGACAATATGTCAGGCCCAAAACATGGGTCCAGTGATTTTTCTACTTATATAACAGACTCCGAAAAAAGGCTTCTTCCCAATTGAAATTTTCTTTAAAATCATGCAGTTTTCCCAAAAATCTGAACTTAAACCAGCTTTTTTACTTCCCAAATCAGCAATTTTAGCGATAATTTTTCCCAAAATCAAAAGGCTAAGGCCTCTTCCCAATAAATAGAGAAAAAACACTGGGGTCCCTACTTAGAGGTCAAAGATTAACATAGTCTGTTATAGGGTATATTTTGTGTCTGATCCATAATTTCTTCATAGTTCAAGGGATTTTGAAAATACTTGGCACAAATAGTTACAATAATAAGACTATATGTCATGCACAACACCTGCACCCCTACTTCTTAGGTCACACTTAGAGATCAAAGCTTAACATGATAGATTTTTGAATTCCGTGTTTCATTTTATTTCTTTAATAAATTTATTGTTTCATTTGCAGATCTAGCATTGATCATAATTTTGGACTGAAAGTCCTGAGATCCATACCTCAATCTTTTGAAATAGCACAATTTTATGCTTCATATCAAACTTCCCGGAGGCGGGGGATGTTGGTAACTCTGTTACAAATTCTTGTTAAAAAAAAAAGTGTAACTTGCAATCCAGGACTAAGAAAAGTTGAGCATTCTGTTCCTTTGACAGCTCTTTTTTATTATATGCCCGAAAAATTTCGGGCATATTATGTTATACCCCCTGGCGTCCGTCCATCTGTTAGCAATTTGGTTTCCGGAGCATAACTTAAGTTCCGTTTGGCCCACAATATTCAAACTTCATAGGATGATTGTCCATATTGGGTAGAAGACCCCTATTGATTTTGGGGTCACAAGGTCAAAGGTCAAGGTCACTATCACCTTAAAACTGAAAACAGTTCAGTGATTTTCCTACTTATATAACAGACTCCGAAAAAGGGCCTCTTCCCAATTGAAATTTTCTTAAAATTCATGCAGTTTTCCCAAAAATCTGAAGTTAAACCTGCTTTTTTTCCCCAAATTAGCAATTATTTTCCCCAAAATCAAGAGGCTAAGGCCTCTTCCCAATTAAGCGAGAAAAATCACTGCAGTTTCTGGAGCATAACTTAATTTCTGTTTAGCCCACAGTGTTTAAACTTCATAGGATGATTGTCCATATTGGGTAGAAGACCCCTATTGATTTTTGGGTTACAAGGTCAAAGGTCAAGGTCATTATTACTTTAAAACTGAAAACAGTTTCCTGAGCATAACTTCAGTTCAATGTGGTGCACAATATTAACTTCATAGGACGATTGTCCATATTGAGTAAAAGACCCCTATTGATTTTGGGTTCACAAGGTCAAAGGTCAATGTCACTATTACCTTAAAACTGAAAACAGTTTCCAGAAGATAACTTAAGTTCCATTTGGCCCGAAGTGTTCAAACTTCAACGGATGATTGTCCATATTGGGTTGAAGACCCCTATTGATTTTGGGGTCACAAGGTCAAGGTCACTATTACTTCAAAACTGAAAACAGTTTCCGGAGCATAACTTTAGGTCTATTTGTCCCACAATATTCAAACTTCAAAGGATTATTGTCCATATTGGGTAAAAGAACCCTATTGATTTTGGGGTCACAAGGTCAAAGGTCAAGGTCACTATTACTTTAAAACTGAAAACAGTTTCCGGAACATAATTTAAGTTCCATGTGGCCCACAATATTCAAACTTCATAGAATGATTGTCCATAATTGGTAGAATACCCCTATTGATTTTGGGGTCAAAGGTCAAGGTCACTATTACTTTAAAACTTTTAAAAGTTTCCAGAACATAACTTAATTTCTATTTGGCCCATAGTGTTCAAACTTCATAGGATGATTGTCCATATTTGGTAGAACACCCCTTTTGCTTTTGGGGTCTGAAGGTCAAAGTTCAAGGTCACTATTACCTCAAAAATGAAAACAGTTTCCAGAGCATAACTTAAGGTATTATGACCCTAATGGGCACTATCAGGAACTAAAAATTGACATCATAAGTCAGATGTATACCTTAAAGTACACCTGCAAAATTTAAACAAAGTTTACTGTACGGAAATCAAGTTATGGCCACTTTTCTGAACTCAAGCTAGGATGTTATGAGGGCCCTTTTTTAGAATGTAGGAACCTTTAAATAATCTGCAATAACATTCTAAAGAAAAATGTTTTCCCATTAATTTTTGGTAAGAAACAAAAAGTACCATTCAGCTAACAATCCAAATAAGCAAAATTATGGTTTATACTTTATGAAATCTGTATTAAAATGTTACCCTACCCCACCCATTTTTACCACGTGTCTGACCATTTTTCTACTTAGGGAGCCTAATTTAAAAAATTCTTAAAATTTACCCAAATGAGTGCCTGTTTTCAAAGTTTCCCTAAATTTTTAAAAAAGTATATTGGTTGATCTTGTAAAATATGAAATACTTTTACCGTCTAGTTTTGATTATATTACACTTTGAAAATATCAGGTACCATATTTATTACTAGATTTAGCATAATTTAGCCAATAAATACCTATATAAATTAAAAAATCAAAATTAAACACTTTTTTCTTTCCAAATGGGACATGAGAGATACATAAATGATGTTAAAAGAAAAAAAGAAAGAAAAAAAAAGTTGGCCATTCTGGGGATTGAACTCATGGCCCTCATTTTCAATGTAGTTAACAGTAGTTCTAGCCTATTTGAATACTCTTCAAAGCGGAGGTAATGCATTAGGGTGCTAATACCTTAAGTTCCATTTGGCCCACAATATCCAAACTTTAAAGGAGGATTGCTATTTGGAGGATGTAATACTTTATTTAATTTATGTAATGTCTTACAAATGCTTTATCCTTACTAAAAAAGAAAACAACACTTTCGGGCATATAATGCTCCGCCTAGCGGTGCTCTTGTTACAAATGGGATAAAATACATCCAAAGAAAATATTTTTTATGAAAGTCAAGCTTGTTCTATATAAATTAAATATCAATCTTAAATAAAGCATGTCATAGATAATTACTACTGACCGGGTACTATTTTGTTTATGAATTGAACACATTTTAAATTTTATTACTGCAGGTTTTATTTATAATAAGAGGAATGCTTCAATTGAAGTGAAGGTCCGGTACAGTGAACTCAAAAAATCTACAGTAACCACTTTCTGTTTTGGAGGTCTCCTTAAGTCAGTGTTACATTTGTGGATAAACCCTGTAGTAAGTGTGATATTTCTATACTGATTGATTTGACAACTGTTTATTCTATATACATGTAGTATTAGTAATAAGTTATTATGCAGGAAAACTGGTTGGAAGAACATAACAATAGAATGTGTTAAAATCCAAGTCAGTGTGAAAACAAAAACAAAAATTCTTACACGCTTTTCTCCTATCAAACAGATTAGCAAGTGAATACTTACATAAAAAATGAATTATTGCACTTTGCCACAGCATAAAAAGGAATGCTTACAGGTAATATTATAAATGTCAGATATGACGTAAATAAACTAAATGACATCATAAAAATTAATTAAAAGAATTACACATATTTTTATCAGTTCTCTTTTAAAGCTCACCTGAGCTAGCTCAGGTTGAGCTTTTAGGATCGTTGAATGTCCGTCGTCTGTCCACATTTGTTCGTTAACACTCTAGTCGTCACATGTTTGCCTCAATCATCACCAAACTTTGTCAGGATGCTTGTCTAGGTAATTGCTCGGATGAGTTTGAACATGGGTCATCTCAGATGAAAAACTAGGTCACAGGAGCTAAAAAAGGAAAACCTTGTTAACTCTCTAGTGGCTACTGTTTTTATTCAAATGTCCTGGAAATTGGTCTGCAAGTTTGTTTTGATGATTTTTAGATCAAGTTCGAATATGGGTCACCTGGGGTCAAAAACTAGGTCACACTGCCCAAATATGGAAAAATCTTGTTGTCACATTTTTGATTCAATTGTCATCAAACTTGGTCAGGATGCTTGCCTAAGTAATTGATTTGATGAGTTCTGTGGGTCAGGTGTGCGATCTAGGGCCATCTTGGCCCTCTTGTTTTAAGGATGGAAATAGATATTATTTTTTCTTGCATTCAAGTATATTAATGCATGGCTTATTATTCAAATACTTTATAATTAAACACTCATTCCTGTCAGTCTTTGTGATTTTTAATTCCGAACCGTGCATTATTCTACAATAACAGAATTCAATATGTAGCATTTGAAAGTCTTGAGCCAGATTGTAAACATTGATAAAAGTGGGCTTTGGAGTCCAATAAATAATAGATATTACACTGTATTTCAAAACGATTTAATTTTGTATTCCACACCAGCTACATATAGCTAAAAGTGAAGCATCTCTCAATGAAACAAGTAAATTCATCACCTATTATGGAACTTCTGTATCTGATGTCCATGAAAAGAGCAAACGACAAGGATATGTTGTCATGCAGGTAATGAAAATGTGTTTATTCGTTGTTGTAACTTTTTGTTCAGTTGTATTATATTGTAATTATTATTTATGAAAATAAAGACTATCTTGTTTTAATGAGAAATTCACCTTATTCAAGACCAGGCCTATCTAGACGTTAATGTTGAGTAGCTAGTCTTAGTGAACACATGACATTGATGATTAATCATGATGACATACATAATTTGCATGGATGAATTCGATAATTTACCGTGATGACATAGATAATTTAACTATGATGATATAAATGATTAACCATGATGATATAGGTAATTTACCATGATGACAAAGATAATTTACAGTGATGAATTCGATAATTTACCGTGATGACATAGATAATTTACCATGATGACATAGATAATTTACAGTGATGAATTCGATAATTTACCGTGATGACAAAGATAATTTACCGTGATGACATAGATAATTTACCATGCTGACAAAGATAATTTACCTACATTGATGATTTAGATAATTTATCATGTTGACAAAGATAATTTACCATGATACCATAGATAATTTACCTTGATGACATAGATAATTTACCATGATGACATAGATAATTTACCATGATTACATAGATAATTCACCATGATTACATAGATAATTAACCATGATGATATAGATAATTTACCATGATGAATAGATGATTAACTATGATGACATAGGTAATTAACAAAGATGATATAGATAATTTACCATGATGACAAAGATAATTTACCATGATAAATAGATGATTAACTATGATGATATAAATGATTAACCATGATGACATAAATGATTAACCATGATGATATAAATGATTAACCATGATGACATGGGTAATTAACAATGATGATATAGATAAATTACCATGATGATATAGATAATTTACCATGATGACAAAGATAATTTACCATGATAAATAGATGATTAACTATGATGATATAAATGATTAACCATGATGATATAGGTAATTAGCAATGATGACATAGATAATTTACCATGCTGACAAAGATAATTTACCGTGATGACATAGATAACTAACAATGATGACATAGATAATTTGCCTTTATGACGTAGATAATTTACCTTAATGACATAGATAATTTACCATGATGACATAGATAATTTACCATGATTACATAGATAATTCACCATGATTACATAGATAATTTACCATGATGACATAGATAATTTACCATGATGAATAGATGATTTACTATGATGACATAGGTAATTAACAAAGATGATATAGATAATTTACCATGATGACAAAGATAATTTACCATGATAAATAGATGATTAACTATGATGATATAAATGATTAACCATGATGATATAGGTAATTAGCAATGATGACATAGATAATTTACCATGCTGACAAAGATAATTTACCGTGATGACATAGATAACTAACAATGATGACATAGATAATTTGCCTTTATGACGTAGATAATTTACCTTAATGACATAGATAATTTACCATGATGACATAGATAATTTACCATGATGACAAAGATAATTCACCATGATTACACAGATAATTTACCATGATGATATAGATAATTTACCATGATGAATAGATGATTAACTGTGATGACATAGGTAATTAACAAAGATGATATAGATAATTTACCATGGTGACAAAGATAATTTACCATAATGACATAGATAATTTACCGTGATGACATAGCTAATTTACCATGATGACATAGATAATTTACCATGATAAATAGATGATTAACCATGATGACAAAGATAATTTACCATGATAGATAGATGATTAACCATGATGACATAGATAATTTACCATGATGACATAGATAATTTACCATGATGACATAGATAATTTACCATGATGACATAGATAATTTACCATGATGACAAAGATAATTTACCATGATGACATAGATAATTTACCATGATGACATAGATAATTTACCATGATGACATAGATAATTTACCATGATGACAAAGATAATTTACCATGATGACAAAGATAATTTACCATGATAAATAGATGATTAACCATGATGACAAAGATAATTTACCATGATAGATAGATGATTAACCATGATGACATAGGTAATTTACCATAATGACATAGATAATTTACCATGATGACATAGATAATTTACCATGATGACAAAGATAATTTACCATGATAAATAGATGATTAACCATGATGACAAAGATAATTTACCATGATAGATAGATGATTAACCATGATGACATAGATAATTTACCATGATGACATAGATAATTTACCATGATGACATAGATAATTTACCATGATGACATAGATAATTTACCATGATGACAAAGATAATTTACCATGATAAATAGATGATTAACCATGATGACATAGGTAATTAACAATGATGACATTAACACATATTTTTGTTCTATTCAGATGTATTTAAAATTCACTAACCCACTAAAACGACAAGACTTCCGAACCTTTTTAATTTTAGCTTTATATCATAGATAAAAACTTTTGATTATAAAGCTAAATTTAAAAATTTAAAAGGTAGCTTTCAATTCATGAAACAACTACCATAATAAATAAAATTTCTTTATTGCAATTTTCTAGGGAAGGGGAAACATTCAGGTGTGAAATAAAAAATTTTTAATCAAATAGCATGAAAATTACTGATTTTTTAAAATTGTTTAAAACATTATTTTTAAAAGATAATTTTACTTTTTTTTCCTTATTCAAAAAGCATACCTTTACAAAATTTAAAATTTTCCTGCAACTTTGAAAAAGGGGTTTTTATTTTATTTTTTCACCAATTAAAGAGAGATAAAAAGGGGGGCATATGGCTTTTTGCGTTTTTTAAATTTTAAAACCTTAACCTGCTAAATTCATAATTAATTTGCCCCCCTTTAAATTTTGAACAATACATTAAAGTTGAAGGGTTTTTAATAAAAAAACAAAAAAAACCCCAAAAAAAGAGCCTTTCAACGATATCGGTCACCAGTATGTTGTTTTATCACTCCAGGTCCCAAAGGTAATGCCATAAGTAAAAAAATTTAAGTAAGGGGGAAGGGAAAGGGTTTTTGAAAAGTAAATTAAATGTAAAATGAGTAAGTAAATAAAGTTTTCATTGTGTTCAAACAAAAAGTTTGGGAATTTTAAATAACAAATTAATTATTAAGTTAAGTAGAAGTAAAGAAGCAATAAAGTTAACAAGTAAAGTAAGCAAGGAATGTAAGCAAGTAAAGTTAGTAACTTAAGTAAGGAAGTAAAGTTAGTAAGTAAAGTAAGTAAGTAAGTAAGTAAGGATTTCATTTAATGAGGCGTACACATTTGTTTAAGGTATACAGTGTAACTTCTGAATTCCGGAACTTCTAAAATCCGGAAACTTCTGAAATTCGAACATTTTTCAAGAAATCAAAACCTCTGAATTACGGAACTTCTAAATTCTGAACGATTTTCTGGTAAAATTTGGGTAATATCAATTAAAATTTACTTCCAAAATCCGGAAATTAAAAAAGTGTGGAGGAATATTATACTAATTGAAAAACCTTCAAAATGTCAGTATCTTCCAATTAACAGTACCCATTTATCTTGACACCTATTAGAATTACAACCTGTCAGACACTTGTTTAAAGTGTGAAAATTAAGAAATTGAGAAGAATTATGACATTATGCTACCGTATAAGTACTTTTTTCTGCGGGAACTTTATTTCTGCTATTTCTGAGGTTCATAATGACACCGCAGATTTAAAAACCTCAGAAAATTAAGCCTTTCCCTATGTCTATGTCGGAATATGTCAACTACCGGTATTGTATAATTACATTACCATGTACCGTTATGGGCTTTTGTAGATGGGATTTTTTCTTTATGTATCCGTCATGAATAAAATATTAGAAAAAAGTTACTTTACTTGTTCTGTGTGTTTAAATGAATATCATGTTTGTATGATTTTCGCTCACCCTAAGCTTGACTTTTTTTTGTAAAATAAAACTATTATAGTTTGACGGTGTAATAAACATACCCTTTTGTATTTGTACAATATCTTGTGTCTACGTGCGATTTTACCATTGTTTATTTTTCACACCTCATATTGATACACATGCAGTATTACAATTAATTGTTGTCATTGCACGTTGTTGATTTTTGTTAATCAACGTTTTATATAACGATACATGACGATTGCGATGAAACACATTATAAGTCGTCTGCATGTTTACCGGAAGTAATGTACATGTTACATCAACAAATCTTGAAATTTTGTTTGTTTGTATATGTTAATTTTGTAAAAATATCTAAGTTAAAACGCAGAAATAAAAAAAAACATCAATGCGAGAATGATGACACCGCAGAAATAAGATACGCAGAAATTTAAAACCCCTTATTTTAACAAAAATCGCAGAATATTCAGCCCGTAGAAATAAGTACTTATACGGTATTGTACTATCAGCAAATTCATTTATAGTGATAATGAAATTTGAAATAGGCAAAGTCCTATTATTTTGCTATTTTATTAATTTAATCAGCTTCATATATTTTTCATCATATCTTTCTTTAAAACAGTTGATGTATAATAATTGTACTTGTTCAGATGATTCTGAACTTCTGAATTCCGGAAACTTCCGAATTCCGAACTTTTTGGCAAGTCCCACAGGTGTTCGGTTTTCAGAAGTTACACTGTACATACAATGTTTTAAACAACATATAAACAAAAAACATCATAAAGTTATTAATTATCTGGAAACATGATTATATAAAATATTTATTTTTTACACAAAAAAGCCACATTTTAAAAGGGTGAGGGTTAAGTGGTTTATTTTTGGTTGTAAATCCTGACTCGAAACAGAATATCTTGATTGTAAATTAAATGTTATAATTATATACAAGATATATTTTGTGATTGAAAATATCTAAATAATTGTTGTGTAGGCTTGAATTATGCCCCTAAAAAAAGTGATTACATAAATTATGATATAAATCACAATAAAATGTTAATGGAGAGATTTATCATACTTTCAGCTGCTGATTTATGGTTCATTGCCTACTTGATAATAGGGATTGTCATCTTCTTCTCTGCCAATTCTTGGAGTCAGTAAGTAGCCTCTCTTAATACATAATTGAGCCGTGTCATGACAAAACCAACCTAATGTGTTTAAGACCAGCATGGATCCAGACCAGCGTGCGCATCCGCGCAGTCTGATCAGGATCCATGCTGTTCGCTATCAGTTTCTCTACTTGTTATAGGGTTTGTAAGCGAACGGATGCGGATGCGCAGGCTGGTCTGGATCCATGCTGGTCGCAAACACATTATGTTGGTTTTGTCATGACGCGGCTCATATATTCTGCCAAGCTACAGTAAGAATAGACAGCTGTGTTACAGGGTACATTCTATAACAGACATTTTATATCCAATTTTGTACAAAATAATTCCATGTTGGTTCCTTATGTTTTGTAATTGATTTTTTTTTTCCATTACAAAGAAACTATGTGTGGGTGGGGATTTTATATACATCATATGCAGATGTAGGTGTAAACTTGTTAGTAGGACAGTCATTTTCTAGATGATAAGATTTAAAGACCAGGATTGATTAATGTATTTTAACTTCCTCTTAAAACTATCCAATGATGTGACAGTCCTAATATTTTTACAGAAGACAATATGAGTTTTAGGCAGTCTTCTGTAGCAACCTTTGACTTTCTGTAGCAGCCAGTAACTTTTTTATGTCGCCTTTTGTTTTTTTGTGTCGCCTTCAAAAGGCGACATATATGGGTTACTTTTGTTGGCGGCGTCGTCATTGTTGGTGTCGGCGTCCCCTAAAGCTTGTCCGGAGCATAACTTAGTCACTTTATGTCGGATTGACTTCAAACTTGGTATGCATGCTTCTTTCAATAACTCGAAGTGCAATGCACAAGGACCGGTACTCTGCACTTCTTAATTTTTGAGTTATTGCCCTTTGTAAATTTTCATACTTTAGTTTTGTCTGGGCCTTTTCTCTTCATCTATAAAAGCTATGGACTTGAAACTTCATAGGATGATAGATCTCATTAAGAAGTGCAGTGCATAAGAACCGATACTCTGCACTTCCTAATTTTTTAGTTATTTCCCTTTGTTAATTTTCATACTTTATTTTTGTCCAGGTCATTTCTCCTCAAGTATGAAAACTATGGACTTGAAACTTCATAGGATGATAGATCTCATTAAGAAAAAGTGCAGTGTACAAGAACCGGTACTCTGCAGTCTGCATGTCTTATATTTGAGTTATTACCCTTTATTAATTTTCATACATTATTTTTGTCCAGGCCATTTCTCATAAATTATAAAAGATATGGACTTTAAACTTCATAGGATGATAGATCTTATTGATAAGAAGTGCAGTGCACAGACACTGCTGCTCTGCACTTATTATTTTTTGAGTTTTGCCCTTTGTTAATTTTCATACTTCATTTTTGTCCTGGCTAATTCTCCTAAACTTTATTGTTCATAAGGCGACACATCCGACTCATGAGTTCTAGTCCATTGCAGTTGTTAACTTTCCATAGCAACCAATGACTTTCCATAGCAACCATTGATTTTGATGAAGGGCTGATTTTAAGGGTTCAAGCATCAGATATGCAGCAACCATTAATTCCTATGTGATTGTATGAGGCAACTAAATGTGTTTAAGTCTATGCATCTTTTAGCTTCAGCAGGTGAGGTTGTTTTGACCCCTGGTGTTGCTTAAAGTCTGTAACATCTTATGCCCAAATCTTCAAAAAAAAATATACATGTATTATGGAAAAATACATGTTTGGGTTGGGAAGAAGAATCTAGCCACATTTTGTCAAAAATATCGTGAAAAGTGGGTCCTGTGTTGGTATGGCAAACCTTATTATTTAGAAAGGAAAGACAGATTACTTTTAAATGCTAAGAATGAGTTTTTGAAAAACAAAATCTGTCACTTGACAGTGATTATTATACCTTAGTAATGTCTCAATTTCAAAGTTTCAACATGTGTCATAAATGAAAGGTAGGAGTCAATAATTGTAACCTTCACCTTTTAGAAAGAAAGGGATGTTTCTTTTGCATACATGTGACATGTCATGTTCATAATTATGCAGTACAAAATCAATGATTTTGCAATCCTTAAATTCTAAGAGGATTACAGTCTGGACACAAGTCTTTGCATGTATACATGAATTCTGTACATGTGGCCTTGACCTCTAAGGTTCTTACAGTTCAATTTTGATACATCATCTTCAGGTACTCCTCAATGGTACCAAATTGTCTCAACCCCTATGACCCTAAATATCATAAATGGACTTGCCCATCTTTCATTATGGACAAAACCATTTATCATTTTTAGGGAATTTTTTTAAAAATGTGTTTAGATTGAAAAGCAAACTGATTGCAGACAGCATCTGTGTCGCCAATAGCCTTAACGGAAATAATTATTGTATTGTGGTGAAAAGAAGTAATTTTGGCATGAATGTTGAACATATGCGCTAGGTCTGACACCTGAAATCTCCCCGAGTGTGACCATAATATGTTAACATTGGTACAGGAGCCTTGCATGTATTATTAATATAGTCATGATATGTTAGTAAATTTGCATACAAAGTACCAATGGTAATTCTAATCAAATGTTAAGGATTCTTTGTTCATATTATTTTGATTAATCTATTTGTAATAAATTCTTATTGTTTGCATTCTTCATAGTAATGTGTATGCTTCTCAAAAAAGTCCATGCTAGCATTGATTTTTCTTTCATTTTGATTTTCTATAATAAATATATAATGCTCTTAATTACAATAAAAACAACTTTGAATTGAAATTGAATTGAATTGATAATTAACTTGTGAAACATGAATTTGAAAATTCCTGCATGAAAAGAATAATTTTAAGCCCTGACATAGAAATAAAGTTGGCTAACAGCACTTGCGTAACACAGAAAGGCAGCTTTAAAAGTACTCATTAACCATCTTCAAACCATATCACAACTCACCTGTTAAGACTTATAAAAGCAATCAAAGAAATGTCATACTTTAAAAATATAGATAACAGTTAATTATAATTGTAGGTTTAATATTTTTACATTAAAGTATAACTCCAATTTCATCCTCTAATGATCTTCACAGAATGATGTATACTTTTAATAATTTTGTATTTTTCTTTCACATATTGAAATGAGAGAATGAAAATACCTATTTGAATCTTAATTATTAGACTGAAATGAGGTGAAAATGAAATTGGATGTTATAAAAATCTTCAGTTTATACATTTAGGAGTGGCATTTATAACTACCATGTTATGAGGTGTTGATTTTAGCTCACCAGACCCAAAATGCCCATAGAGAGCTATATGTAGCTTTGTCTGTCCTTGGTCATCCTGAATCACTTAAAAATAGTGATGAAACTATACAGAAATGATCCTTAGGTGGCCTTTCATAAAAAAATGCCCAAATAGTTCTAGTCTTCTGGACAAGATGGTTGCCAGAGCTTAAAGTAGAAAAAAAAACTTCCATTACCACCTCCTTTTCAGTCACTTAGAAGATTTTGATGACATTGTACAATGTACATATATTCCTTTACAAAAATTGCTTAAATGGTGTTCAGGTCTTTTCTTCAAGATTGCTTCCAGAAAAAAAAAGGAATATGTTTTAAGTGTCATCTCCTCAACTGCTAAGCCAGTAGTAATGTAAATATACAGGAATGATCCTTAGGTGGTCCTTTCCTGAATTGCTCAAATGGCTCTAGTCCAAGATGGCCACTAGATCTAAAAAAAGACAAAACTTTCAACCATATCTCCTCCTAAACCACCTGGCAGATTTTGAAGAATCAGAACAGCAATCATCATTAGGTAGTCCTTTATAAAAATTGCTCAATTAGACATTTCAGCCTTTTTATCAAGATGGCTGTCGTAGCTTGAAATAGAAGTAAGCTTTAAATGACATCTCCCAAGTGGCATGTTTATTTTGATGACCATAGGTGGTCCTTTGCTAAAATTTCTGTAATTCTTCTGGTTTGCAAAAATGGCCACCAGAGCCAAAAAAAAGAAAAGAGAAGGATTTAAAAGACACCTCAATCTCATGGTAGATTTTGACGAAACTGTATTGCAATGATGGTTATGTTCTAGAAATTGCTTGTATTGTTTTGGTCTGTTGAACAAGGAAGATCCTGGTAATTAGATTTTATCTGTGTAGACCTTGTCCTCTGATGAGCGAATAAATGTCATCATGGCCCTCTTGTTTTATAATTACTATGTAACATTACATCAACTAGTAAGTTAATGCAATGGTAAGGTTTTAAATATTAGACCAACCACCTACCTGACTATCCCACAAAAGTACATTGTTATTGTTATAACTACAGTTTATTTGTGCATAAAGAAAAAAAAACCAGTACATTGGTAATATTAAGCAATACACACCACTCCTTTTGTTGAATGCAGGGTTAAAATTTAATGCCTTATTAATATATAGAAATGATATTGGTGTATTGTCAATATTTTTCTGTCAATAAATCAATAATCAGTTATTGATACACATTTAAAATCAACCCGATAATTTTTTACAATAATTAAATAAATTTCTAGAAATTATGAAAATTCATCCAAAACATAATTATACTGTTGCATGTGTCCATGTTTAAAAATATGCTGCTGTTACAACATAGGCATAATTATTTCATATTTAGAAATAATGACAGAAAAATCATGCAATGGACATTTATAAACAAGACACATCATAATATTTAATCAGGTTGAAAAGTAATTACTGATATCAAGGTTTTCATTTTTATCCGCGGTAATAGCTGTGCTTACTCAAGTTCAGTGGACAGGGTTAATATTTTAATGTTCAGACTGAAAATACTGCAGATTCTAACAGCATTTTTACCAATTATATAGATCACCAATCTGTTACAATGTAACAAAATGTAATAATGACCCTCCCCCCCCCCATGCATATTGATAAATTTTAATCAGTTATTAATATCATTATCATTGGTTACATGGTATAAAATATTTTTCAAAATTATTTAAAAAATAAAAAAAATTAATATTCCTTTTTTGTGTGCAAATTTTATTGTCCATTGGGGGTGGTGGTCGGATTAAAAAAAATTAAGTTACTTTATGTAACATTCTTTGCTTTATCCCAAAGCCTGACCAGGTATTGTATTTTAATTACTATATTCCTCATTAATACTTGCAATAACATTAAAATCACCAAAATATATATATCTGCAGATTGTTATACAGTGTACTTTTAATACAATGAATTTTGCCAGTACCAAGTCCAACAACTAAAAGAGATGATGTAAGACAAGTTTGATACTAAAGTGGACTACTTTCCTACAATAGTACAAGATACTTTATTTTATTATTTAAGTCTGTTTTGCAAATTATAAGATAAATGAGCTAATACAGTAATGTTTTACAAACACTTAAATAATGTACTATGTTATAAACTAGAGTATAAACTGGAGTATAAAGTCAAACTCTTTTTTGACCTCTGACCTACCAATTCGTGCATACATGTAAACATGAGTCACTCAAGCGTGCATGTTTACTTTCCCAATACACATTTATTGACATTAATGCAACACAGGTTGTGCATGATCATTATTGCATAAAAGTAGTATTTGAACAGATTTATGTTAAAGGAAGTTAATGACTTTAAATTCATAGCATACATTTATTCTGGAAACTAAGTAACAGTGAAGGATTTTAAACCTAGTGATAGTATTGCACTCAGCTGGATTTACTACAAAGTAGAATGTCGGCCATTTTTGTTGTCATGTGAAACTAGGTCAATCTTGTTTACATGCTTAGCACATAAACAGCTGAACTGTAACTGTACTGAGTTTGATACTGATTAAACTCTCAAATTAATATAGCTATTTGCAAGGGAGTTTAAATGAACAAAATATTTACAATAATTTGTGTTGAGTTGAAATGACAGGTCAATATTAATGCACATGTGAATTGGGGGAAAATAGGTCAAACTTGTTTTGGTTTTATTTTTGGTTTGCAGAAATTTCTGCTTTCTGTTTCACATCTCCAGATAAGGAAGTTTTTCATATGATGTATTACTACGCACTTTATGTTAACATATTTAACTGATAAGATAATTCGATCTTGTGTAAACAAGTTGTGAAGGAGGAATATAAAAATTATGTTTAACTATCAAGGTAACATTTATCACCAGGTGGTGGATACCTGGAATAGAATAAATGTATCAACCTCAGGTCTGTCAAGACCTTTTACTAGAGCTGTTGACGGGTTAAACATGGCTGCCAGTTCGGCTTATTACACCCTGCCATCGTTTATGCAGACGGGACTATATGATTTTTATCGAGAATGGGAAATGTTTTATGTTGACACATATAAATGGATTCATCCAAAACTTACTGAACTAAGGTGACATATGTTAAGTTTATATTTTCTGATTCTGTGATAGCTTGTGTTTTTTTGTCATTATTTAACAGATTATCCTTACTAATATAATTTATAGTTTTATCTTTGATAGTTTTGGAAACTCAGATTACATGTATCAAATTGGCCATTTCATACGTAACTTGACCTTTAAAGTTCTATACACTAAAATAATATAAAGCAGTGTCGGAGGAAGTTCAATTTTTAACATAAATTTGAAAGATAACACACAACAGCACAAAGTCGGAAAAAATACTACTGTTCATAGTTTTTAGCTCGACTATTCAATAAGAATAAGTAGAGCTATTGCAGTCACCCGAGCGTCGGCGTCGGCGTAACCACTTATGTTAAAGTTTTTGTAATAGTTCAAATATTTTCAAAGTCCATTGACATATGGCTTTGAAACTTTGCACACTTGTTCACCATCATGACCCCAACCTGTAGACAGGAGGAGGTAACTCTATCAAGCATTTTGACAGAATTATGCCCCTTTTTCGACTTAGAATTTACGTTAAAGTTTTTGTAATAGTTCAAATATTTTCAAAGTCCATTGACATATGGCTTTGAAACTTTGCACACTTGTTCACCATCATGACCCCCACCTGTAGACAGGAGGAGGTAACTCTATCAAGCATTTTGACAGAATTGTGCCCCTTTTTCAACTTAGAATTTACGTTAAAGTTTTTGTAATAGTTCAAATATTTTCAAAGTCCATTGACATATGGCTTTGAAACTTTGCACACTTGTTCACCATCATGACCCCAACCTGTAGACAGGAGGAGGTAACTCTATCAAGCATTTTGACAGAAGTATGCCCCTTTTTCGACTTAGAATTTACGTTAAAGTTTTTGTAATAGTTCAAATATTTTCAAAGTCCATTGACATATGGCTTTGAAACTTTGCACACTTATTCACCTTCATGCCTCCAACCTGTAGACAGGAGGAGGTAACTCTATCAAGCATTTTGACAGAATTATGCCCCTTTTTCGACTTAGAATTTACGTTATTAAAGTTTTTGTAATAGTTCAAATATTTTCAAAGTCCATAGACATATGGCTTTGAAACTTTGCACACTTGTTCACCATCATGACTCCAACCTGTAGACAGGAGGAGGTAACTCTATTAAGCATTTTGACAGAATTATGCCCCTTTTTCGACTTAGAATTTACGTTAAAGTTTTTGTAATAGTTCAAATATTTTCAAAGTCCATTGATATATGGCTTTGAAACTTTGCACACTTGTTCACCATCATGACCCCAACCTGTAAACAGGAGGAGGTAACTGTATCAGGCATTTTTTTTTACTATCAAGCACGAAGAATAGTCGAGCGTTGCTGTCCTACCGACAGCTCTTGTTTTAATTGTGGTAACCTTTAAATTGCACAATTTACTTCTGCTATGGAGATGAATATTATTATTCAAAAGTAGCCAGAGTCAAAGAGTTTTTACCTTTTATTTTCCCCACACTGCCATGACAGTATGGTGGATCTGTGCCAAAGTAACAGGGATATGTCCACTGGTAGGAACATTTAGCAGGGATTTTACCATGTCATTTAATCTTACACGTGGGAAGTGGTGTTACATGTACTAAGGGTTATCAAAGTCCACTCTTTTCACTTGGGATATGTTGGACATGTGCATAAGTAACATGTTTTATGATATTGATTAATCTTTAATCCAATCAATTTGCAAACTTTTTGAAAGCCATCTATACATATTCAATGTCAAAATGTAGAGTATGTAATATCTTTAAGTTGCAAAATTTGATCACTAACATCTAGCCTTTACACCTTGATGTTTGGGATGGACTTGGAATGATGATTAGTTTAAAACAGTTTATCTAGTACCACTCTTCAATCTGACATGAATCATATGGTTGGCAATAACAATCCTGAAATGGAACAGAATCCTGAATGGTGAAATGTTGTTGCAACATTTGGATGAAATTAATAGACCTGGTTTTAAGCTTGACTGTGTGATGCATAGTTTGTACTTGTACTCATTATGCTTTACTATCATTAGCACTGAGAATAGTTGAAAAGCTCTTGTTCACCCAGTAAGAAATTGTAGATCAAATGAAATATCACATTTTCAATGTGTTTGAAATCATTTTTGTCCAATAGACAGGGGCTTTAAAAATCAATTGTTCATATTGCCAAAGTTGTCCCACAGTCTTTACAGACAACTATCATACCAATGAAAGTTTTCCAGAATTTACTATACAAATACTATACTGACTATTGAAGAAATACATAAAATAAATTCAACAAATATTAAAGTGAAAATTTTGCCTGCACTGGATTTCAGTGCTTCAATATAATGAATCTTTTCAAATTTACTTTGGAAAATCAGCTAACTATTATTCAGCTGTTTGTATAATAATAAGTTATATTCAAAATACTTAATTACTGTTTGTGACATATTTAGTTTTGTGAATGCTTACTATATTAGCTCTAGCCTATACATAAAGTAGCCTTCTGTTATAAAGGCATTTTGAAAATATTGCAAGCATTATTAATGAATATATTTTCATGTTGTGTCTGTGTTTGGTCATAATGATATTTCGTAATGTCAGCTAAATAAGGGATTAGTTGATATTGTATAATAATGTTAATAATGTCTCTTTTATTATTTTCTATAGTAATACGGCTCTTCACTACAGCACAGGTGTTTCTGTTGGCGTTATTGCATCTGTTCTAATCCTGGTATTCATAATCTCACGCCTTTTACCGTCGGTAAGTCGAGAAATATTTATGTTACACTTTGTCCAGATTCTATGAATAATTAATTCTTATTGTTGTAGCTTGTGCCAATTTTGACAGTTTGGTAGACGTATTATCAGAATGGCTGCAAAATCAATTTCATTTATCTTTATTTGATATTTTCAAGGTAAATCATGGAAAGATATTACGTATTTCAAATGAATGGTTTGCTAAATATCAATTTCTGAGCAAAATGTTAGTTTTGTTTGTCTTGTGTAACAATTGACATGTTTCATTATATTTTGTCTGTCCAGATAGTTATCTTAAATTGCAAATTATTAAAAGGAATTACATGTACTTTCTGTGGTGTACACCAATGTATATAAATAAAGAATATATTTTGTTGAACTTTGTTATACTCATTGAAAAGATGGTACATAATATTTAATTGATTCATAATTGAACAAGTTAAAGCCTTAAATGCCTAAAATCATTACACTATACAGTAAAATTTGCTGGGGCTACAGATGACTTTGTTTGATATACATTGTAGACCTAAGTTGTCAGTCAGGAAAAGACACTCTAAAAATGTTCTTGTCAGAAATGACAAAGTATAGAGATTTCATTTATAGCATCATTGCCTTGGAAACCTTTTTGTGTCGTCTTGAAAAAGGCGACATATAGGGGTTACTTTTGTTGGCGTCCCCTTAAGTTTGTCCGGAGCATAAGTCAGTCATTATAAGTCAGATTGACTTCAAACTTGGTATGCATGCTTCTTATAATGACTTGAAGTGCAGTGCGAAAGAACCGGTACTCTGCACATCTTAATTTTTGAGTTATTGCCCTTTGTAAATTTTCATACTTTATTTTTGTCCGGGCCATTTTTCCTAATATATAAAAGCTATGGACTTGAAACTTCATAGGATGATAGATCTTATTAAGAAGAAGTGCAGTGCACAAGAACCGATATTCTGCATTTCTTATTTTTTGAGTTATTGCCCTTTGTTAATTTTCATACTTTTTTTTTGTCCAGGCCATTTCTCCTAAAGTATAAAAGCTATGGACATGAAACTTCCTAGGATAATAGATCTTATTAAGAAGAAGTGTAATGCACAAGAACCGGTACTCTGCATTTCTTATTTTTTGAGTTATTGCCCTTTATTAAATTTCATACTTTATTTTTGTCCAGGCCATTTCTCCTAAAGTATAAAAGCTATGGACTTTAAACTTCATAGGATGATAGCTCTTATTGATAAGAAGTGCAGTGCACAGAAACTGCTGCTCTACACATCTTATTTTTTGAGTTATTGCCCTTTGTTAATTTTCATATTTCTTTTTTGTCTTGGCCATTTCTCCTAACAAGGTGACACATCCGACTCGCAGAGTTCTAATTAATTCTTCTCAAGTAATGATCCTTGGGTCTTAATTGTCAGTGACAAAGGGATAGAAAAAAATATTTTTGCGGGAACAATCCTTTACTTACACTTTAAAAGATTTAAAAATCTTTCTGTTAACTGACAGACAAAAGTTAAAATGTTAACGTAGCAGTATAAGCTTAATTTTAGTTTAACTATTATCAACAAAAATATTTGATAAACTAATCATGTGCATCAGATTTTATCATTACCTATTACGCTACAATTTATTTAAATTTTTCAGAGATTGAAGAATCTGGGATATCTTTTAATGTTTTTTGGTGGCTCGGCCTCACTATGGATTCTCACAACATTTACCAGCATATTGAACAACCCGATGGCGGACACAGTTGTAGAAAATTGGCAGTATGTGTTAGGTTATATTGTGACAGCGGGAGTGTTGAGTTTTGCTATAGTATATAGATACGGACCAGTGACAGACGAGAGATCGTTAAGTTTGATACAATGGTTTTTACAATTACTGGGACTCGTGCTTGTTTATAATAGTACACAGATACGTGAAGTTTCTATAGCATTGATTATTATACTGCTGACTATTTATAACTTTCCGAGGAGACTTATATTGAATGAAAGAAGCAAAAACTGGTGGTAAGCATAATATTCCATATCTAAAAATGCGTTTTTTTTTATAGTTTTCATTTATATTTTCATGCCACTCAATTGTTTACATTGCTTTATCACAATTCTTTTTTCATAATTATCTCAACATAATGGTTTGACAGAATGTCATTTAAAGGAATAGGAATGGATGGGTTGATGTCTGTCTAATATAAATATTCATCATTAAAAAAGAGGTACCATGACAGTTTTTTTGTTGACATCAACCCTTTAAGTGAGAAATTCGTGTTTTAAGACACTGTTTTTTACTTGAGAAATAAGTTCATGGGCGCCGCCATTTTGGCGTTCTGTCATTCTCGCGAGACAGACGAGACCGAGATTGTGACGTGTTATACCCACTTCCGGTAAAGGTGTACACGCTGGTACAACTGAAATATACCTTGACGAAGAACTTAATTAATCTTATTGCGTACATTATTTATTATTTATGAAAACATCATATGGAACTGCATTGCTTTAATTAATTAATTGAAGACGCCGCGGCATTAATTATCATTAATTTTGTCCGATTTTCAAGCTTGCTGATGATCCCACCACATGATTTAAGCAATGACTGCTTAGTTTTCAAAGATAAACCATCAATTTAATTTGGGTACTTTGAGAAACTTCTTCAAATTGATATATCCTTTTATTTGGTACTTAATTTTCGCTAGACAAGCTGTCTGAATAGGGTACATCGCCGGTCATGTATCTTTTTCTCAGCGGTAAATATCAACTAAATCCAATGTGCAGATATTTCCTGAGGACGCGATTTTCCGACATTGACGCTAAAAATAAAATGGCGCAGGAAAATCGGCAGCTAGACTAATATCGTATGAAAACAAAACTGTCCGTTCGGTTAATTAGGCACCCAGTCAAATCTGGTACCAACAGCAACAGGTTGCCCATTAGGCATAATTCCCCTATTATTACGCATATTCTCGGGTTTATCCAGTTCCCTATAGCGTTTTTCCACGTTATCTACTTACCACACAGATACGCATTTCTACTACCGTAAATTTAATCCAATAAAACAAAAAACATAAATCTACTTAATTAATATTCAAAATGATTATTGGTAACTGAAAAAATGTGTTGCTATTGTATGAAATGCTGTAATTTACGGTATAACTTGACTCCCCTAAGGTCATTCAGTTCACTGATGAAGCGTAAAAAAAAGTCTATTTCGTCATTAGAATATTTGACAAGGGTGATTAACCAATCAGGGCAACATTGTGCATGATCAAAAGGTCTGTCGGCACAGAGGCATACAAGGAGCAATAAAAACCGTTAGTACACAGTGTGACAGGAACATTTGGTGTAAATTAGGAACAATTAAAATGGATAATGCACAGTATTGGCCATAAGTAGTAAGAACCAGCAATTGTGTGAATAAATTATGCAAATGAGATTTTTGAGCAGCCAATAAAAATGTTTTGCATGCAGTTAATATTAGGCTACGATTACGATGTAAATAAATACCACGAACCATCATTGACAGACATGTAAACAATTTACTTTTCAAAAGAGTTGCTTATATTTTTGAAATGTGTACATCACTACCAACATAATTATGTTCACACCTTTTAATTTGAAAGTCAGAATCAAACTGCAAAAATTTAATTACATGTACTATTAAGAACACGTTTTAGTAGGATTTTAATAATAATGATAATTTATCGCCGTTCAATAATTAACAGCCAATTATTCGTTGGTGCGTTTGTTTATTTAATTGCATTATTTGATTGTGAAACTTTGTTAAATAATAACATGTGTATTTATTAACTCTGTGAAATATTGTTTAATTACATTAAGATGAGACTTTAATGAACATAGCATTGTTTGGAGTAACGGGCATCTTTGGCCTGAAGTGGTGCGACCGGTAGACGTTGATTTTTTATTTGTTTCTTTATTTTATTTTTTTTTTTTTTTTTTGATATTGTTACGTATTTTGAACAATAAAAAATCGCCTCTACACCTCCTGTGAAAATTAATTTGTCTGGTCAATACTTTATTATGTAAATATTTCGCTACGATTCAACTAGATTTATCATAAATCTAAGATGTGGGGAAATGACATCACGCGCACCTGTTTTTATACGGCCAATACACAAACATGGCCGCGCCTACTGATTTGTAGGCGATTTAGCGATTTAGCGATTTAAATTTCGTTATCATTGGTTTAATATTATTATTTGGCGGCATAAAATTTGCAGATTTATTATTTATAGTATTCGTTTTCTGAAATCAAGTTTTTATTCTAACCTTGTTTTTCCCTTTAAGTCATAGTTGTTTTCCGTTGTGTGAAAATCTATAAGTTATACACCTACTGTGACTCATGAATTTGGTGAGTATATAATTATGAGCCGCGTCACAACAAAACCAACATAGTGCGTTTGCGACCAGCATGGATCCAGACCAGCCTGTGCATCCGCACAGTCTGATCAGGATCCATGCTGTTCGCTGTCAGTTACTCTACTTGTAATAGGGTTGGTAAGCGAACAGCATGGATCCTGATCAGACTGCGCGGATGCGCAGGCTGGTCTGGATCCATGCTGGTCACAAACCCATTATGTTGATTTTGTCGTGATGCGGCTCATATGTTCCCATTCATTGTGGAAGAAAGACTTAAGAAGAATAGCATACTGTCAGTTGCCAATAAACTTGATATGCTATTTAGAAAAAATGGTGTTAATTGTGTCTTAGCATTATATTTTCAATAACATACAAATTTGTATGATGATATATAATGATCTCAGATGAGTTCCCTCAAATACTAGTAAATTCATTATTGGATGTATATGCTGACAGTGAAGATATTTATAGAGTAGCCTTTGTGTACAGGGTTTTTGTCTTATATAAAAATGTAAGTATTTCACATGAGAAGATCTGAAGGAAAGATTGAACTGTACTTTATATGAAAGTTAATTATATTCTTACTTTATGTATCAGGTACAGGTTATTCCCCCCTAAAATAAAGCTTCTAACTGAAGACGAGTACATCATTCAGGGAAATATAGAGACAAAGAGAGAACTTGATAAGCTTCGAGAATACTGCAGGAGTCCAGAATGTCAAGCATGGAAAATGATTAGCAAGCTTAAAAGTCCACAAAGGTATTTTATGTTTGTAACATTAACTTAACCCTTAAAGCTGCATGCCTCCAGATGAACCAAAATATTTCAAGAAAATCAAACTTGAGAAAAAAAGCACTGAGATTTTAAGAAAAGTAAAAAGATTTTAGATAAAAGTAATAATTTTCATGTTATGTGAGATTTATGACTGATTTGATAGTACTTTTTTACCATTTTTCTATTCTACTGCGTTACTAACGCAGTTGGAGCTATTTTTGCATATTTTAACCTGTTTTGGGTTAACTACATGGGTCATAAGTGCTGTTTGCAATGTGAATTCTTTTTTCTTTGTTCACTTAACAATACATTTGTACTTTACTTTTTAATACATTTAAAAAAAATTCATGAAAATTAGCATGAATCTGGAGGCGTGCTGCTTTAAGCCTACTGAATTTCTAAAATGGACTGGGTCCGTTTCTGTTCCTGGCACTGACCATTGTCTATTTAAGGGATATCAAGATGAAAATGAAAAGTCAGTCAACCAACACAGGCATTTTTTTGGCTTATTTTATAGTCGATATTCAGTCATATAGTATATTATTTTCCAAATCCACAGGAAAAAAATACCAATCGAAAGTTACAAAATAAAAATATTGAATAAAAAATCCTAAAATCTTTGAAAATAAGGGCTTCTTCACTGTTGTAGTGCTTAAATATTTGAAGATGCCATCCTAGACAGTGATTGTTTGCATTCATTTAATCACTGCAAAATTTCAGTCATGCACAAGCAGCTTTTTTTCCCCCAATTTTTAACAAAACCGCTGAAATTCCCAATTCCATGGGTATGGGTCATGTTCCGAAGATCCTGGGGAAAATCCTGCAACAGTATAGAGCCTGACTGGACTACAGTTAAGTTCAGACTGGCCTTACTCTATACTGATCTTAAAGACCTACTTCTTTACTGATCCGGTAGGTTAAGGGTTAAGTTTTTTTGTGTGCTGTAACTAACATAACACTGGTATTTTCTGTAGCAAAATCAAATCTTTTGTGTAATTTAACAAAGGGGAATGTCACATACACATTCTTTCTTCTACTTTTAAATAAAGCTGGTTTAAAATAAATGGATTGCTTTGTTAAGTGGCTTTGTTCTGCTTACATGTGCTTTATCTTTATCTGTTAACTTTCAGATTGTATGTTTGTTTATTGATAAAGCAGTTGATAAATTATGTTTAGGTTTGATACATTTGTAATGATAGGGAAGATACTACTTGTTAGTTTTACCCTATAAACACTGCTAAGTTTATGTAATGGATTTGCACTCCTTTTTTTAGTTATCAATATATCAAAAATGTAAAATTATGTAGCAAACATTCTAATTTAACAGGTAGAAAAAATCTAGGTACAGGGTGTTTCATAATATCCGTCCTTATTAGAAAGTTACATATTTGGTATATTTGTTTATCTATGAGATCAAATTAGATATCATTTTAAAGGCAAAAGACATACTTTCCTTACAAACATAAAGTGAGGAAAAACATTGACATCATGACATAATAAATGATGTCATTTCCTGGCGCACTGTTTCAATAATGATGCCGTCAAAAGAACATTAATGTGAAATTATAAAATTGTACTATCAAACAAAATCACAGAAAACTGTAATAAACACAATGGAAAGAAGTTCTCCAGATCTGGGAAAACTAAGTACAAAATCAGTACAAATTCACACTACAAAGAATAGTAAGATTATTTGAAGAATCTGGCACATATACATATTGGAACAAATTCCAGTCTGAAAATATGTTAAATAACTGCATGGTACTTTTATCATTATGACTGAAATTCTTTTATATCAAGTGCTTAACCTAATGAAATAACATCAAGATCTTATTTTGCTTAACAAATGGTTCTTGCTTAGTGGCTAATTTGCTTGTTGGTAAAAAATGTAAACACTAGATAAAACTGTACTTGATTATGAAGATTTCTGTTCTTGCTGGTATCGTCTGAATTAAATCCTCAATTGTTGCATCTTTCAGCAATAAATTGTTAATTTTAACTGGTGGATTTATCATCATTGAGTATCAGGCTATGTGTGTTGTAATTATTTAATAATTTAACCGTTTCTTATAGATTTGCAGAGTTTATCATGAACGGGACATGGCACGTATCGGAGTCAGAGATGGTAGAGTATGAGACCCAAGATGACCTGGGCGATAGTGATCCACCCTCTGACACCGAATCTGAACTTGTTTTTGTTCTTGGCTCTCCATCTAGGACAGTGCGTACCTCGTTCACCAGAGGATGCTGAAAGACATAGATCTTTCTTCGTGTGAAGTTCTTTGGCATTGTGTTTTTGCCAGAGGGTTAACACAAACAAACTATCAGAAAACATTTTGTGACAATTGGATTCTGCACTATTTTGTGTAATGGTGGCAGGTCACTTTTGTCTTACAAAACAAACTTATAACACATTGTCATGTATTGTACACAAAATAATGTATTCAATTATGTTTTATATAATCTGTATTTTCTTTTTATAGTAATCTTTATACTGCATTTATTATAATAATTATTTCAACTACATTGTTAGGAAAGCAACTGTATTTAACATTAGTTTCTAAGATATAGGATATATGAATCAACAATCCAATTTTTTATTTTACCTCAAGTATGATATTGACTTTTATAATTGTACTTTTTATTGAATATGCACTGAATTTTTATATCATATTTGTTTGAAGAGGACTTCAATATAAATAAATCATATATGTAAGATGGCTATACATATATTTTACTGTATCTGTATATTAATTACTTTTAAAATGAAAGAAGAAAAAATGTTTTTACTTTATTTAATTAAATTTTGATATCTTAATTAATTTAGTAACAGAAATTTGCTTTGTTTTAAATATTCAATATCAAACTTTTTTGTCTGTGTTTTTCATTAGTTTACATATAGATCTATATAGTGGTTGAATGTTTTATTATATCACAATTATTTTTCAAAGCTTGTATACATTAGCTTTCAGAGTAAGATAATGGTTATCATTTACTTTCAGATAAAATTGTTAGTAAGGACCACCTAAAGTAACGATCGTAAAATTCGTGGTCATTTTTATTTTTCAAGTTTTTTGATATGACAGGACTAAGAATAGTTTTGTACCATGTAGTGTTGGTCTGGTCACATGGTTATAATACTTTCTATTTTGGGAACTGTATCATATATTTCAGGGTTTTCATTGGTCTTTGCCTTTCTGCACAAGTTTTAGAATCATCAAGCATATTAGAAAATTTTCTTGATTAACCTTGGGCACTGGACCATTAAAGTGTGTAATATTCTATATCATTCAGTCACTGTGTTTTTTTTGATTATGCAAAATTACCCTAAAATGAAGGGTTTCAAAGCTTGTTCATATTGAGGAAGCTTCGAAATGAAAAAACTGATAATGAAATTTAATTCTGACCTTTATTTCTTTATTATCTTTAGTATATTTGCTTTTTAGTGCTCATTTGATTTATGTAAAGAATTAAGAAATGTATGCTTTTTACAGACCGCAGTGAAAATTCTGTAATGTTTTTAACAAGTTTTAACTTCAAAGCAAAAATATGTCTTATATCAAGATTTATATTATCAAAATCCAAAAATGAAAACCTTTGAAAAAAGAGTTTATACCTCAAAGCATTATGATTAGGTGGTCCTTACAAATTTACTGTGCATGTATATACATTTTGTTTAGTTGTATGATATAAATTTGGGCATTTAACTGAGTAGAAATTTATATAGTATATACCATACATGTTGTGTTTATTTTGCTGTAGATTTGCAGATTTTGTGGAGGGAAATTCGTGGCATGTAACTAACGAGGAGCTGCTGGAGTATGACTCGGGTCCTGATCCTACACCACCCCATCTACTGAGTGACGATGATGACCTCGAGGAGGAAGAGATGGATTTTATTTTGAGCTCACCATGAAACAAGTGGCAAAGTTGTCTTCTAGTCCCATTTCAGCAAGATGCAATATTTTGTACTTTCACCATATTAGGTGGCATTATAACAATAACTGACGAGAAGATAACATCTGTAGTGTTTGATCTCCTTATTTTATATAAAGATGAAAAAAAATAACTCTACTTTATGACTATAGATATGTTATCTAAGGTTTGATGTTGTTTTTTTTAAGGGAACAAAAAATGCTAGACAGATTTCATGGATCGTACATAAGAACAAAAAATAAGGTTTATCCGTCCAAACATCAATGAAGCAAAACATTGAGTGAGTCAAAAGAGTTCTTGCCTCTGTCTTGTTACACTATACAGACTATTTACATGAAGCTATAAGCCAAACATTCTTTGTTTTCTTTTGCAGTTCAAATATTTGTGTAATGAGAATTTAGGAGATTTTTCTCTGTAGAAGGCAAACATCACAGTAATAATATATGACAAAAGTAATTTTATAACACTAGTGCTGCTTTTGTGCCTCCCTAAAAACTGCACAGCCATGAATAAATTTTCATGTGATTTCATTTGGGTTATACAAACATAGCATGAAGAAATGAGCCAGGTCACAACAAAATCAACATAATTGGTGTGCGACCAGTATGGATCCAGACAAGCCTGCGCATCTGTGCAGTCTGATCAGGATCCATGCTGTTCGCTATTAGTTTCTCTACTTGTTTAATAGAGTTGGTAAGCGAACAGCATGGATCCTAATCAGACTGTGCGGATACGCAGGCTGGTCTGGATCCATGCTGGTTGCAAACCCATTGTGTTTGGTTTTGTCATGACACGGCTCAAATGTTAAATGTTAGCCTTTAAACATGTCAAACCAAAAGAATGTCCTTTTTTTACTGCAAATACTTAGTCTTTATTTTAGATATGTGATAAATAGAATATTAAATTTGTGTAGGTTCAATACAGGAGTTATTAAACTGGTTCAATAAAATAAAATAATGCTGGCTAAAGGCTCGTATGTTGAAAGTTTTATATTTTACTTGTTCAATAAATTCAGTATTGAACCTACATTAATTCATTTAATATACTCATATAAATTTGATTGCTATCGCTCATTGGTTTTTGTAGAATAATTTATTTGAATATAGGAAATAACATTGGAAACTAAAAAAAGAAATATTATTAAGCATTTCTTCCATAGAATATCTTATTGATTCTCCTGTTGAAATATTTATGGTGTTTGAGATATATTATTAGTTATAAGGATTTTGAAAGGTTATAAAGCCCTATATAAAAGTTTGTTTGCATATATTTAATCTGAGCCTCTAGGTGAGGTAATATTGCAAAGGACTGTTTATATACGGTCATATAACCAGGCTGTGAAGAATCTTTATAACAAATTTATAATACAGCAAACTTATTTAAGTACAGAAAGAAAAAAAATGATAATACTTCATAAATAGACAATAGCCTTGCCTATATAAATGTCATAGTTATCCGAAATAATAAAATACAATGATAAATGCATTATGGGAGTCTGATGTTTATTAATGAGCCGTGTCACAACAAAACCAACGTAATGCATTTGCGACCAGCATGGATCAGCACCAGCCTGTGCATCCGCGTAGTCTGATCAGGATCCATGCTGTTCGCTTACCAACTCTATTACAAGTAGAGAAACTGATAGCGAACAGCATGGATCCTGATCAGACAGTGCGGATGTGTTGGCTGGTCTGGATCAATGCTGGTTGCAAACACACTAGTTGGTTTTGTCATGACAGGACTCATTTGTAGATGCAGCTGTGTTAAGACAATTTTTAAACAAAATGTAGGACTAGTATTAACACTGTAAAACTGATAAATAAATGGCATAGTGGCATTTGATACTGGGGCTGTTAAAAGGAAGAACAATACCATTTGTTATACCAAACATTGCATGATGTTTAATTTTTACCAGTCATATATATTCTTTAACTATGTTTAATTGGATTTAAAGATTTGTAAATTTTGATCCTAAACTTTTTGAATTTATATAATGGAATTGGTCAGCTTTGAATCTCGAAGTTTTAAAGATTTCAGTAGAGATAACAACAGTATAAAGCCTTACCAGGCAATATTAATGCTCTATTCTAGTGGCAAAGGCTAATTTATTTTTCTGGCAGGTTAAGGGTTAACAATGTAAGTATAGACTATCATATGATACACTGTAATATATATGTTCTTTTAACAGTAAAAAGAACTTTTTGTAAATTGTAGCTAACCCCCTAGGCTATTTATTGTTTTATCTTGTCTTTTCTATCTGATTTTTATGTGCTGTGTATATTTTTTTTTGTGTTGTAAAAAGTTGAAGTAGAAATAACAGTATTGGTTGTTTAATTTTTAATATAAGCTCTACAATGATGGTTGGAAAGTGTTTTATAATTTAATCATGATGTATGGTTGCTAAATTCACTATTTTCTTGCTGCTTAAATATCCACGTGACTGACATGTTGTTAAACTTCATTGAATGATTATTTGTATAACTGTTGTTTTGAAGGTCACTGTGCAATATAAAAGAAAAAACAAGTAACTGGAACCATTGTATGATCAAATAGGGGAAACTATCCAAGTCTGAGTTATATTACTGTATAGAATGATCACGCTCAGCTTTAATACCTGTTAATTATCATTTTGTAAGGATTGAATGAAGTTCAAGGTCATGGTGCCAAGACCAGCTATTGTAACTTAGCCTATAAGGATGAAATAAAGGTCAAGGGCATAGTGACCCAGACACATGAATTTGGCTTTGTTAATAATTATTCAAGGCACCAAACAGTAAAAAGATGAAGGGTTTACATGGCCCAGTGGTTACCGTTTTTGCCTCAAAATTACTTAACCCTCATTGCTGTGGGTTTGAGTCCCAACAGGGACTTTGGATTCTTTCATGTGTAGAAGCTATCCAGCTGGTTTATGGAATGTTTGTGGTTCTACCCGTGCCAGTGTGTGCCTGAAATATAGCACAGGAGGGCACCATATGTCTTCCTCAACCAGTAAACCTTGTTAGTCCCCCATATGACAAAGTTTAATTCGAAAGTTTCCTAACTTAGTGTGTTTACTTTTTACCAAAAGAATCTGATAATTCCTGTACATGATGAATAAAAGAAAATTTTTAACCTATTTTGAACTTTGCAATTAGATACATTTGTACTGCAGTACCACACAACACAACTGAATTTCATCACTTTACCTTCTCTTTTTTAACTCCAAATATGAAATGAAAATCCAGTCCATGTATTATTTTAAATGGCTTGACTACTCTGTTTTATATATTACCTTCTTCTGAAGAATGGCATGTGTAGGACTTGATTATTGATATTTCTTGTTCTTAATTTATACTCTTTACAGATATTTGTACCACTAGGTTAGGGTAAGACTATAAGGGGCTGTTGAACTGGTTCACTGTATTATACAAAATAATAGTGCATTACTTTTTATAGCCGAATAATACTTAACAAAATTTTCCATTGTGTTTTATTTATTGGTATTACTCCAGAAAACATGATTTGCTGTAAGTTGCAGCTTCCAAAAATTGTATCGCATAACTCCCTGAAGACTAACACCTAATAGGTATATTGTGTTTCTCTGAAATTTGGAAAATATTACTGCATATACATTACTATTAAAAAGATGTTATATATATTCTTAAATTTACATTTCTAAGATTTTTACCACGGTTTCATTATTTAATTAGTAAAATGTATTTTTGTAAGTTATGTTATATATTTAGTTATATATCATACTTTCCACATCATTGTCATCATTTGTCATTAAGGTTATTATTCATTATGTTTTATCACAATTAAACCATGAGAGTTTTAAACAGTTTTGTTTTATTTCACATTGTTAGTTTATCCACCAGAACGGGAGCGGTGGCCTAGTGGCTAAGGTGTCTGCCTTTCAACCCAGAGATCATGGGTTCAAGCCCTACACGGGTCACGACCAAGTTTCTTCATATGACACCAGTACAGGTTGGTTCCAGGAAGAAGACTCGAAAGTGATTAATATAAGTTGCAAGAACTTGTTTCGCAATCGGGCTTAAATAAATATGTTTAAATCTCCACCAGTCTATAAAGGTTGCCGTAAGTGTAGAAGTAGCTCAGTGGTTAAATTGTCAACCCAAGGATGGTGTGTGTATGAGACCTACAGTGGTCAAAATAATTAAATTAAAACTGGTTTATTGTTGAGGGTGATTCTAACGGGATATAGGTATGATATAGGCGTTGCTGATTCTAATATGCTTCTCATCACAAGCTATTATAGTTTAATACTGAATTACACGGAGTGGCACCTGAGGTCTTCTTTGAAAATCGCCATATGACCTTAACTTGATTGCTGTTGCCAAAGATATGGACAACATCTTAAGAAGAAAGAGTCGGACTGTTATGATTGCTACGTTGTCAACATCATGCATAAACTTTAATGTCATTATTATTATTACCACTTATTCAAACATTTTAAAAGTTATTAACATGAAAATTAAAATGCATGCTAATCGTGACGTGGTGCTTTTGTTAGACAAGGGGCATTATTTTAAAATGTTTAGCTTGACTAATCGATAAGAATAAGTAGAGCTATTGAAGTCACCAAAGCGTCAGCTTAACCACTTGTGTTTAAGTTTTTGTAATAAGTCCATTGACATATGGCTTTGAAACTTTGCGCACTTGTTCACCATTATGACCCAAACCTGTAGAAAGGAGGAGGTAACTGTATCAAGCAGTTTGACAGAATATTGCCCCTTTTTCAACTTAGAATTTACGTTAAAGATTTTGTAATACCTCAAATATTTTCAAAGTCCATTGACATATGGCTTTGGAACTTTGCACAATTGTTCACCAACCTGTAGACAGAAGGAGATAACTGTATCAATCATTTTGACAGAATTATGCCCATTTTTTACCAAATATTTTCAAAGTCCTTTGACATATGGCTTTGAAACTTTTCACACTTGTTCACTATTATAACCCCAACCTATAGACAGGAGGAGATAACTGTATCAAGCATTTTGACAGAATTATGCCCTTTTTCAACTTAGAATTTACATTTAGGTTTGCATACGAGTTCAGATATTTTCATATTCTTTTGAAACAAGTGGAAATTCTATACTCTTCTTTGAGAGCAAAACAGGACTCTGTATATATGCCTATAACTGTAACATTGATTTAAAGAAACATTGATTTAAACATAATAATGTACTTTTGTTATTAACTCAGAAAATTTTACATTATCAAGGCTCTTTTATTATCAAGCACTAAGAAAAGTCGAGCGTTGCTGTCCTACTGTCGTCTTGTTGGGGTTATATCCCCTTTTTAGTTCACGTGCGCACAGTGCTCAGAGGTGAGCTTTTGTTATAGAAGTATATATGTCCGTTGTTGCGCACCATTTCTTTGAACAACATCTCCTAAACTGCTCAAAGGAGTATGCCCAAACTTCAAAGGAATGATCATTAGGTTGTCCTGTTTAAAAGTTATATAAATGTTTTCAGTCTGATGCATACGTAGGTCCAAGGAGCTAAAGATAGACTTCAAAAATGAAATCTTTATGAATGTTCTCCTTGGATTTATTGCCAAGTGGACCTCTACAAAAGTAAGATAAAATCTGCCCATGGTTCAAGTGTTCCCGCACTGGTGTCGCTTAGTATATCTAGACTGATATAGTAGTAATCCTTGAAAAACTTCTCAGAAACTGCAATGTATAGAGCTTAGATAGTTTGCATTTAGCATTATCATCACAAGGGCTATTTATATTTAGTATTTTAATACTGCTCCTGTGGTCAAATTTGACTCTGTCCTGGGTCACATTTCTATATAGACATGTATAGGAAAATACAGTTTAGTCTTTTTTGCGAAAAAAAAAAAAACAAACAAAAAACAAACAAAAACAAAAAATACTATTCCGAGACTTTAGATATTTGGCATAACCCAGTGAACCTCCACAAACATTTGTGTAAGTCAAGCCCCAGGGGTCAAAAATGGTCCCACCGTGGGGTCAGTGTTTGCAAGATGTATGTCGTTAAAATGCCTTCAAATTTTTCTTTGAAAGAGTGCAGTGCCAAATGTTTTGATATTTTGCATGTAGGGTCACTTTGTTGTCCTTAACAAAAGTTATATTAATCATGAACCTTGGTTCAAAATCGACCCTGGATAGGGTCACTTATTTTGTATAAATTTGTGTAGGAAAGTACATTTATGTCTTTTTTGTGTAACTGCAATGCCTAAGGCTTAGACAGTTACTTGGCATGTAGCATTAAAAGAAGCAGACATCTACAAATATTATAAAAATTGTCAAAATTCGGTTAAAATTGACCTTATTACTGAAACCGTAACCTTTTCTAGCAAGGTATCTCAAAATGAACGATCAAGGGCAAAATTGGTTAATTATAGTCGATTTCCTTATGCTCTTTTCTTTCATCTGATCAGACTTTTGTATAAATTGTTAAAAACAAGCCTTAAACTGTTCAATAGAATCCTGAACAAGTAATAAAGATGGATGAAACTTTGTCTGTTAAAATAAGGGTTATAAAAGTAGAATTTTAGCGAATTAAATTTGATATAGACATGGATATGTGCCAATATGTGGATTATAAAAGCTTTCAATTTGTATTGCATGGGTAAAAGTTTCCACGTATTTGCATAAAGTTCAGGTTATTTATACTTCTGACAGCACTCTTTCTATAAATAGATTAAGAGTTTTCAGGGACTTTTTTATATTTTCAACTTGCACTCATGGTTTTGAAACATCTTACTGTATTTCTAGCAGTATAAGTGACCTGGAATCATTCTTGCAATGTTTTAACTATTTTGCCAACAAGTCTTTATAGCCGGTTGGTAAAACACTTTATTCACATAAGTTTTGTGCAATTGCACTGGTAAAATAAGGCAATGTGAAGAAAGATTTCACAGTGTAAACGTGACCCGTCTTCACATACTGCAGCAATTCCTGGGTATCGGCATTTGGTCCAACACCAATAGCAATGATTGTGACACCATCGTCTTCAAGCTTTTTGGCCTCGTTAACTGCAAGATCCGGTATATCGGTTCCACCGTCTGTTAGGATGATAACAATGTCTTTGGCGTTAGGCCGGGCACCATGTCTGCTGGTAAGTACGGAATTGTGCACGAGATAAAATGCTGCGTGCGTTCCAGTAGAGCCTGTATAAATTAGAGAATCATTAAAGTCAAGAAAGATCACAAGTTTAAAAGACAATAAACAGTAAAACGTTTGCTATATAGTGTTTCAAATAAAAAACTTTAAAAATGTGTGATTCCATTGGATAAAATATTGACAAATGAATGATTGACCAGAGCCCAACCACGACATCTTGTTCCATATTTGTCTAGACCACTCTGAATATATAGAGGAGTTTGTCCCCATTATGACATTATTCTCAAGACACTATATATAGTTCAGCTAATTTACAGCAGTGTAATTTATAAGGCATTTGTTCCATAACGCGTAAAGTGATTGTGAACAATGTTCTTAAAACCAAGTCCGTTATAATGATACGCGCTTTATATGTTGGAAATAAATAAAAAACCTTAACTTTAGTCAGATAGCGTGGTTCACTGATTACAGCAGACTGACGAAAAAAAAATTCAGTTGATATTAGAACCGAGTTATTACATCCTTTGTCGAGTTTGGAAGTTACACTTATTTACGGGACGTACACATGTACAAATATATAGTACGATAACATATAATATGCTGTTATTTTCTGGACAGAATTTAAACGAACTTTAATCACTTCAACAAGAAGTGCCTATACAGTGCACGCCCTTGTTTGAGATAAGCTTTTAGTCTTATTTTACAAGACAGTTTTGGATAATCTGCAAAAAGTATGTGACTAACAGTGTCGGTCAAATCGAAAAATGATGAAATAAATCATGGTCTTTCAAAGACATGTACAATAAACAAAATCTCTAATAAGTTCCGTAGTCTTTGTTCACAAATATTACCAATTTATAGTCAAAATACAAAAAATGTAACACATTTTATTCCCTTAGTACTTTTAAGAATAGTGCACAATATATAAAGAAATATTTTTGAACGTTGAATACCTTGTACATATGGGATGGTCATTGCAGCATTCTCTAAATCTCTTATAGATGTATGGTCTGTTAGATACCACTCGACGCGAGCAGTGTCACTATATTCTACCACTGCCACCTGAGAGTCCATAGGTCCAATTGTCAAACCACCGATCAATTTCTTGAGAACATAACAGTCGTAACAAATAAATTTGACGGAAATGTTTACGGTCCATAAAATAATAGACTAGAACCTATTCAAAATAGTTGCCTATTAAGGAAATCCTAAAATTATTAACATGTTTTAATTACATGACAATAAGTTAAACATTATATGGTTGAATATGTTTTGATTATCTCCGGAACTTAAAATGTACGTTTATAAGAGCATTTGAAAGAACTTTAAATCGGCAAAAGTATGCATGCTACCTTTGAAATTACAATACAAGTTAATAATCTCTGGGTCGTGATTCAGTTAGAGTAGTGATACTTGGAATGAATATTGCATGCAGAAAGTATACGAAATTCGATTACCTGCACGAAAGATTTCATGTAATTATGATTTGAACTACCCACGCTGGTGGAGCCGTCTAGAACAAACACTATATCTCTCGAACAGTCTGGAAAAAAAACATACATATGAAATCGTAAACATTAATTTAATCAGTTTGTTTAAAATCGCTTTTCACTTGTTTTGTGAAACTAACCACGTAGGAAATAATACAACTTATATTTATGTTCTTGCCAGTCTTAAAACACCAATTATGTACCGGAAAACAGAAAAGATTATAAATAAAATATTGTAATTGCTTTTTTCACATAATTTAAAATATTGTCTTTATTGTCTGCTGTACTAAAACATTGTTTAACTGTCATTAAGTCCTTCTGGTTACAAAATAAAATAAACATAAATGATGATGCGTTTTTATTGGTATTACTTATCTTACTATGTAACGGTTTAAGCGTCGTCGTCGGTAACGTTGTAACTGTTGTAGTCGGCAATGTCGTAGTTGTTATGAATTCCGTCGGATAATTGCATTGATCCACATCGCAACAATGGAAGCTTAAGTCTCTTCGCGCATGCTCGACAGAAAACATACCGTCACTGCGTTTGCCAATGATGGCATGGAAACCTAGGCCAAGACCCTCGCATGTCTGAAAGAGTACAGCGAGCCGTTATGACAGATATGGCTTTATAATATAACTTTATGCTTTATATAGTTGCAATATAAAAAACAGGTCAGAATTGTTAAATCTTACACGCTGTCTTGCTTGTCAAATTATCCTTCAATGCTTTGGGGTTGAATCCCGACAAGGACCTCGTATTTTTTCATGAAAGGAAGTTATCCAGCCAGCTTACGGGACGTCGTTGCATCTACATAGGTATTTGTTTGACGAGAGTGGCACCTGTGGTCTTCCCCCACCAATAAAGCTCGAACGACGCCATATGACACAGTCTGTGTTGGTGTGACGTAAAACACAACAACACAACATTGTTTGTACTTAAGGTTTATGCGTGACGAGAAACGCTTTCAACTATTACTCGCAGATTATTCCGTCAAATATTATTTTTAAGGTTTTGTTTTCATAACCATATAAAAATATGAAATATAGGGGTCACCTTATTTTACAACAGTATTTGTCTCTCGTCAAATATGCCCTTTAAAATTTTTTTTATTTTGTGATATTATTAAAATTTCCACAAAGTTACTTTTTGGCCATAATCCCTGATTCATCTTTTGCATCCGTTGCTCTTTGTCCAGTACAGTTAAAGTAATTAAGTATTTTGTATGGAAGTCAAAATACTACTTTGTTTTCAATTTTGCTTATTTGAAAAATAATTTCATATTCAGCTCTATATTCTCAAGGCATCTTTCATGCTTTAAAACCATTATTTAATCGTAATAAAACTCATGTTACACATTTCTAAAGATGGAAATAATAATTTGTTTCTGAGGCATAATGTGCCTTTAACATCCAAGCAGCCTTTAAAATGACTTGGTAAACGCCATATCTGGACCGTACAGGGTAAGTTTCAAATTCTGTATAAAGCCTTAAGAATTTTATGCAAGACCAAAGATAGTAAGATCATAAAAAATCTTCACAAAAGATGTTTACCGTTTTAGATTCACACGACATGATAAACTCTTTGGACCCATCTGGGTTAACATGGGTTTTCTGCATGCATACCTGGAAATCAAATCGTGCAAAGAGCGAAACCAACTTTAATATGTTGACAAGAACTACTCTCCTACTTACAAAATAGCTGTTAAAATTAATATAATCACTGTAAGACTGTGTGTATTTTAATTAATATTACGATTACAATTATCTACTTCAGTTATTATAACATTTCAACGTTTTGTGTCAAGAAACGGTTGGCAAGTAGTCAATAAAATGAACGAAACCACAAACGATATGCATGGTATGGCTTTGTAGAATCAAAACGAGATACTACTGTAAACGATAATAATAAAATGATATGTTACAAATGTATAAGAAAAGCTATTTATATGATGATATTTATGTATTTTGTCGCAAAAAAAAGATGAAAGTAAGCAGAATTACCTCCCCAGGGGAGCATGCTTTGGTAGTTGTACAGTTGTCCGGACTACTGACACCTATGGGGCAGTCGTAACACACGAGAGCTGCGCGACAAGAAAAAACACCCAAATATATGAACAAGATATAAAATCGTATAGCTTTGTTTACAAGTAAAGAAAGTTCATTGAAATGGTTATCAAAATGTGAAACTGTGAATGTAATATATATTTATTAGTGGTATAATTGTCCTATTTGATTGATATAGTTAAGATCTGTATTTATAAAGCCTGCGCTTTAAAAGGACTCCACTGATCGTTGTTGTTGTTGTGTTTCTTTGTGTTCTTTTTTGTGTTTTGTTTGTTTGTTGTTTTTTAGACATGAAAAGACTGTATTTCCCCCACCCCGAGATTTATGTCACATCGGATAAATATCTGAACAATAACTTGTGTGCAAATTTTCATCCCCTAACAACGGAATATATTTTCCAGACTAATTTTTTATTATGAAAAAGTATTTTTCAACGTTTTCATCAAATCGGTTAAAAATTTCACTTACCACCTATTTTCAATTTGATTTAGAGTATATTTATATATCATCCATTGCAGATTTCTTCATTTTTTTAAAAGCTTTACTTTGTGTATGTTAAAAGTTCAAATTTTATATTTTAGGCTTCTTTCTTATATCAGTGGTGTTCCTTTGGTGCATACAATATTTTGAGAGTTATACTCGTTAAGAACAAAGCAATAAAGCTCAAAATAATCCAGTCAAAAAACTTGAAATAAGATTTCATTTTGCATTTCATACCGAAAGACTTTTATTTATTTTGCAGCCAGAACACTAACGCTATAAGCCTGCATTTTTTTTTATTTTTTTTTTTTTTTTTTTTTTTTGGGGGGGGGGGGGGAGTAATGATAACAGACTTAAACATTGTACGTTGTTGTTGTTGTTGTTGATGATGATGATGACGACGATGATTTTGTGTTAAAAACGGGATAGACACTGTTTGTATTGGGTGTTTGACCTAAATGAATTTAGCAATGTTAAAAATTAGTTAACGTATGTGTTTCAGGTAACAAAAACAAGCAGAAATATATTGTTATACCAGATCATTTTTATACGGGACGAACTATCCGTAAAAAAATGGACATCTTGACGTACAAAGTTCCCCGTTGTTGTGGGCTAAGCCTATATTCGTTGCTATTTAAGTTAGATAACGACTTCCTTTATTCACGTAGAAATATCAAATGATAAAATGTATCTCAAGTAATTAAAAGTTACTGAATTATGTAAGTGTAATTCTTAAAGAGAAAAGGAAGGCATTCTGTTTGAATATACTTTATCTGTCTCTATTTGTTGCTGAAAATATTTATAATTTTTGGTGATAACAACATTCTTACTTACGACATTGTCCACAAAATCGTTTACAGTTCGCCGACAGAGCCTGGTCCTGACACAGGTCTGGTTTGTTGGCTAGAAACAGGGAGCAGGCAGCCGTGCTGACGTCTTCACAAGCTGGCTCGACTCCGACAAAGTAGGCAAATGCTTTTGATAAATAAACATGGTGATTTCAATTATTTTTTAAACGTATGTGAAATAATTCTGTCAAATTAAAACACGTAAGTCATGCTAATAAAATGAGTTTTGATCATTTTGGACAATGAATGAATGCTATTCATTGAATTAGGGAAACTGCGTTTATTTCGGAAAATTTTAAGACATATAAATCAATTCAGGTGCCATGTCCTAGATATTACACTGTACTTGAATACAGCACAACAATTATTTAATTCAATCTTTCCGAAGTAGATTTGAATTTATTCATAATTCTGTAAGACTTTGTATATCATTAATATTGTTCATGTACATGACAAAAACGTTATAATACAAGTCGTCTAGGATTAATTTCGTTTAGATCTTTAAACGTTTAATACTAAAGCACATTAACATCGTGGGCAATATAGTGAACTTCATACCGAAAATTCTTGTTTCCTTGTTTTGTGAGTTAACAACTAATATAAAATCATTAATTTAAGATCTTACCAACACACAGAATATACCAGGATTCCATTTTAAGCCCTTAAATGTGTCTTATATGTTTATATTGATAAGGGAATCATATCAGTTAGTACGGTCTATCTAGACATAAAGATTGCCAATCTTACACATGTTAATAACTAACTCATTTACACCGTACACAACCACGATAATTGATAAAATCTGAGACCAGGGGAGACAAACGAGATGGATAGACTCAATGTAAAAGTAAAGTTTAGATAGGTTTAAGTAAGTTCAGGATATATTTCTTTAAATGAACGGCGGCATAGATCAAAAGTTTGGAAAATTTAAAGCTACTTGCCCATTTACGGCTTAAGGCCCATCATTTCGGGTTTTCGTGTGCGCCTGACAATTGCTGTGTGCGTCAATTGCTCTGAGGTTCGAATCATGTATTTAGTTTTGTAGTTTCATTTAACGCCAAAGTGATTACATGTGTACATAATAGATGTGGAAGAAGACCTGCCCTTTACATGACGAGTTTCACATTCGGTCAGAAATAGAATCGAATAAAGGGATTTACGAAAGACTGATGGGTACGTTTCAACTTCATGAATTCGTGATGAAGGTGAAATCGGGAATTCATGAAGTTTAAACGTCCCCACTATTTATCCTCGTGAATTCACAAGTTTACCTTCATGAATTCACATTTTCCACATACGAAATTCCTCAGTTCGTGTAGTAACCACGAAGAATTGTGAATTCACGAAGATGAAATCAGGAATTCACGAAGTTTAAATATCCCCACCTTTTTTTTAAAAAGCAAACGGGTGTGCAGACTGACCTGGCTTTATACTGGTTGGAAAGAATTATAACGTTTGGTCCTAGTAGGTAAAGGGTTAACCTTTCATAAAAAATAAAATGACACAACTATAAACTTTCAATGTTAAATAACTATATAGCGCTAAGACATGTCTTTGTCTTGGTAATGCATGTTTCACGTAACGAAACGTGAATCACCCTTCGGGACTGCTTTTATATGTTGTTTTTTCCGTCGCACGCAACTCTGAACGTGGCGTTATCCACCCACTATAGTTAGTTTTAATAACAGTTACAGTTACGCCGAATCAGCTTAACGAAATATATATACAAATACATTCTTATTATTATCCCTTTATTTCTAAAACAGACTCCATTTTTTAATTCGCCGATATCAAGTTTCTTATTATACACTAATTGTCCAGCTGTGACAATCGGCATTAATGTTAATTAAATAGTGTTACATATTCATTTCTAAAATAATGCCAATGTTTTAGGTATTTCATACTGTTTTCCAGTTATTTAATTGTTATAATTGATCGAAAATGAACACAATATCTAAATGATCTATATTAGATACAGGATACATGTATTAAATATTTGTCGCAAATAGGCATGTTCATAATAAATATTATTTCTGAAGACAAAATGGAAATCAGATGGGTACAATATTGATCATGTTGTTATTTTGTAAAGATATGACAATTTAAACTTTATAAGTCTAAAACACTTAAAGATACAATGTTAAAAGAATCCTGATATGTGAGTTGTGTAGCAGGATAGCTTTATTTCAAAGAGACGTGGCCTTTATGTACCGCAAAAGAAAATGATCCATTATAAAAGAGGGTAAGTACAGAAATGGTTCGTTGATAAAAGCGCTTGAAGTATATTTTTTTAATACAATGTACTTTGAAGAGGATTGGCCATTGTTGATGGCAGATTGATCTGCGGAAAAAGTTAATTAAAACACAAACATGTATATGAATTTAGTTGCGTTGCCTTACTATTATGTCCTGCAAAACTATTGTTTAAAATTGAATATAACCTTTACATTATGTTTTTATAATCATTTACCGTATTCAAAATAAGCACTAAACTATGGTGCCTGATCTCTGCCATTCGTGTCTTTGCCCTTCAAAAGTCGAAGGCGAAGACACAATAATATGCTCACTTATCGTGTATTAGCCTTTCACTTTTGAGGGCGCCGACACGAAGACACGATACATTTGGGTGACACCATACATTTTATAACGACATCTTTATAGGCGAAGACACGAGACTTTCTTCTGTAAAATTATCTTCGTATTTATTTTTGTTTCATCTTTTCATATATACATAAAAATATATATAAAACATAAAACACAGACATAAGATATATGAAAAGCCATTCTATTCTAATCAGAATTACAGGAGACTGTTTACTTTTGCTTCTAAGGAAGACAACTCCACAGGCCATATCACAGCAGTTTACTGTTTTATGCACTGAGGAATTGTCCCCCCTCCGCTACACAAATTTCATATTATCATTACCATTATGAAAAGAATATGTTATATTACATCAATTTATTCACATTTTTTCTTTCAGAAGTTTACTTTGTGGTATAAAATTGTCACAATGAATAAAACATTAATGTGAACATTATGAATGGGAACAAAATGAATGACCATTACATATGAGCCGCTTCACGACAAAACCAACATAACGAGTTTGCGAGCAGCATGGATCCAGACCAGCCTGCGGATCCGAGCAGTCTGATCAGGACCCATGCTGTTCGCTATCAGTTTCTCTACATGAAATAGGGTTGGTGCGCAGGCTGGTCTGGATCCATGCTGGTCGCAAACCCATTATGTTGGTTTTGTCGTAACGTGGCTCATATATCATTAAACATTAGAAAGTATGTCATTTGTTATATACGTTATACATTACATTCTGCAATGTTACCAACTAAAGTATGTCAAGGACTTACAATGATTTGTTTTCTCTAACATAATTCTGTCAAGATTATCAAAAATTTGTTTTGTACTGAAACACCAGTTTTTACATTTTTTTACTACCAACTATTTAAGCATAAAATTATATAATAAAACGTTTTAGTTTAATCTGGACCTAGGCATCTTACACAGTCTGTGCCAAAAATTAGAAACACTTATCATCTGTTTCCTGAAAGTTGTTTGCCAGCCCATATCGCCTATCAGAACTGCCGACGGAGATAAACTGGATGTCCCTAGGAAAAGACACACATAACACGGTGTTGAATTGAGTCAATACAGAAAAACGATTTGTTTCATCAGATAGCTGCTCCATATGCTACCACTGACCAAACCAACGAGTCAAATAACTTTGTATAGACATTGTAAGACATTCCCCCTAGATACATTTTTAGTTGTTAAGAGACCTAAAGCTCGGCTGGCTGACTGAGCAACAAACTTTGCTGTGACAGAGTAGTCTAAATTCTCTTGAAGTGTTAAACCTAAGTATACATATTTTGGAACTCATGCAAGATTATCTGGTCCACATTTAGAGGCAAAATTGGTCTTATTTACATTATTTGGTCTAAAATGCATTACATTGCTCTTTTTCGGATTAATTTTCATATGACAGGCACATGACCCTTCATACAGAACATCTAACATACTTTGGAAATCGTCCTCAGTTTCAGAAATGAAAACAATGTCATCAGCATAAAGAAATATAGATAACTTTTCTCGTTGGCAAGTAACACCTAAGCATATCACGACCTTCTGTGTCTCTACAGAGTTAATATAGAAATGACAAAATGACCGTGGTTTCATTAACCATCTTTAATACAAATTCTTCACAAATTCCCTATTGACGGAGTCTATGCTTGCTAAAATTTTATGTTAAAGTTCAACAATGTATATTGCTTTGGATTATAACGTTTTTTTCAACAATATTGGTCAAAGTTGACAATTTGTCAACTGTACTACAACGTGTTCAAAACAAATTTGTTCATCTTCAAGATTGGTATCCGACTCTACCCATGCTGACAGACGTTGGTTATGAGTACTACAATACAGTTCATACATTGCATCAGCTTATGCAATTCCTCGATATGACATTGGGTATTTCCTATCTTGGGGATTGGACTTTGGGATCGGGTTGATGATACACTTTCCCCAATCTAAAGGAACCATACCTTTGGAGAAACAAATATTAAAAAGAAGTTGGAGACAGGAGACTGAAGCGTCCTTTTTAAACACCTCACTCGGCAAAGCATCTATCCCACTAGCCTTGTTATTTTTGGCCGGCTTTATAGCATTCCTGACTTCTAAAACATATATCTACCTTTCATATTTTAAACATGTGTTTTGTCCAGGAGGTGCATCATCATCCCAGTCTACAAGATCGTTTTTATACATGTATTAACATTATATTAATTTTCAAAAGGTGTTTTCCATTTATCAAGTACAGATGGAATATCTGATACTTAATCTTCGTTATCATTTACAATTTGCATAGGAATTGTTTTGGATTTATGAGAAACAACACCAACTCTACCAATACTTTTCCAAAATGACCGCGAGTTGCAATAAAACAACTGACATGGTTATCTTCGCTGTCATACAAGTGAAAAAGAATAAAAAAGAAGGGAGGTAACTAGTGTAAAAATAACGCCACCTTTGTATAGGTGGAATATCATACAGAAGTTTTGTATGGACCAGAAAGTACATGTATATAAATTACAAAGATAGAGTGTTAAGAAAGCTTTAAGATAGATTGTGTAATAACTCAAGAAAAAAAGTTGTCTCGGTCATTTTCTACAAACAGTAGAATGTTTATCTGAAATTTGTTAACATTATCAATACAAGGTAAAAACTAACCACTAGTTTCACTTAATGTGTCGTCTCTTGGACTTTTATTATTAGTCAACAGGAAAATATTTTCCCACGACATTTCAGCCAATCACTCTACATCACTTAAATCCATTATGAAAAGGAACGACCAATGTCGAGTATCCATTGATTATGATAATTATTGAAACTTTACCTCGCGTTCAGACGATTTCAATTTAACAGCTAGGTTGTCCGAGATGTTAAATAGTGTTAAACTGACAGACACTTAATTGGAATTACACAAGAAGCTACATGACTGTACATGTATATCCTTCTGTGTTGAATAAATTATACGGGAAACACTCTGATGATTAAATCAGTAATGATAAAATGAAAGATAAATTGATTAGTTTGTTAGATCAAGATAGAAACATGTCCTTAAAACCCTTAATTACAATATTCGTTTGTTTGTTTCATTTTACGCCTTTTCCCAACAGTATTTCATTTATATAGGCGGGCAGTTTCCTGGAGAGTTACACCAGTACTAGACTACCTTACTCTGCGCTAAACTACCAAAGCATCTCCCGGGGATCGAACCCATGCCAGAGAGGTAACTGGATTAGAAGTCATCGACTCTATCCCCTCGAACACGAAGGCGGTAGTTACAAAAAACGAAACATTCTTTTTTAATTTTGAAAACAAAGAAAAGAAAAAAAGCAGTAAATGAAATATTCTTGCTCATATTTACATCTCTTTCTAATGCATTTTAGCCATTAAATGAAAATATAAACTGCAATTTGTACTTTTAAATTGATGGATTCATTTTAGCATTATAAACAACTGGTGGTATTTCGGGCTCCATGGCAAATGATAATTGTATGACAAATGATATTAATTTACGACTTGCCACTGGGCAATATTCCTATTTGTTAATCGGGCAGATAAGTTGAACGGTTATTTTTACTTTCAAACATTGACAAAAATATTTGTCAGAATATCAGATATTAGAACAGAGCGAACACTATAATTTATAACATTTATTCATATCCATTTTAATAAACCTTTGCCATTTTATCACATACTCGTGCCGCTTTTGCAACTTTTTAAAACGGTTTTATATTTTGACGTAAAGACTCGCTTCACTATAGTGTCAATGTAAAAATGATTCTTTTTCACTTTAAACAGTATTTATTTTGTGTATGTGATAAACAGAATTTCATATTCGTGAATGTGTATTAATTAATTTAATGAATTAAATGATATAATAATTCAGTAAATTCAGAATATTCTCTATAAATTGCACATAGTGTCATTTGAAGTACCATCTCTTAAATCAAAACACTGTTTATATCACCGAATAAATGCACTTGTTTGTTCTTTAGTGTCATGGACACTGTAATACAACAATTTCAGACTTCGGAATCTGGTTTTCGAACCATACATTTAAAGTTTGGGACTCGCGTAACTACTCCTGGTAGGAACTCTCTCGGATCACAAGCTGGTAACGGTTCCTTGTCACATGGCAAGACTTGCAAGTTTTTCAAAATATTGGCAGTGATCAAAAAGATCACATTTTCTGAAAACTTTGATCCAATACATTTTCGAGGACCAACGCCTGTCACGACAAAACTGAAAATAGAAAATAATAGTCAGATTTAGCAACCTACAATGTAAAGGAATTTAAAGTAAATGTAATGCAAAACCATATACCACGTGTTAAATGGGTAGTGAACAATTTTTTATCAATTGACCGTATATAGTCTTGTTGCTCTTTGCCAATTAACAATACAATGTAAAGAATTTTAAGATGCACAGTTTCCTAATTTAATGTGGGAAAGTTAATCTCCAAATTAAATAATTCAACACTTATTTCGGCTTGGTCATATTATATGGGATAGGTTTTTGTCATACCAACGCAATGCAAAAAAGTCTTACAATCCCGCAAAATACAGAAACACAATATGCCAAAAGGATTTTTTTATGCCAGCGACCCGACATAAACATATATATTTACTAATTTGATTTTTTTCATATAGATACTGCTCGTTCTCACATCTATATACATGTGTTATATACAAATTAGGGCAAGCAATGTTAAAATCTGTGACGTTAACTCAAGTGGGAGCAATTACTGTGGGAAAGAGGCAATTAGGGTTGTGTAGATAACTTAAGTGAAATAATTTATGGTGAAACTCAATGAAAAACAACAATAGGATGCATTCAACTTTTGATCATTAAGGGGAATCATTGAGACAAACCTACATCAATGTATTTGCCTGACCTAATTATGGCCATTACCACTTTTCTGTTTTTAACTGACATGCAATTTTAGTTTCTTCTTCGCGTGACTGCTATCTCCAACAAAATATTATATAAGGCCAAAAGGACTTAAATCGTACTGCAACTTCATCAAGTAAATGTAGTAGAAAACCTAAGTGACTGAGTGGTAACTTCAGTACACTTGCCACTCATAGCTGTATGTTCGAAATCATGAGAGAGATTTTGTATTTATTTATTCATGCGAGGAAGAAGCTACTAAGCTAGCTAACTCAAGTCATGAGTTCTGTCTTCTTTCTTTTGTCCTAATCTGACTAAAGTTCAGATCCATACTTAAGTATTTTTTTGCATGTAGCGTAAATAAGGAGCTGATTTTAATCAGATTGCATTTGTCCTATATAATCAACCAAGGGGCGCTAAGATTTTTCTTTGCAAGTAAAACTGGAACGTCACCATGTGACGATTTGACTTAAAACCCACCAACTTTAGAAGTGATTGAGGGTGATATACTTATTTGACTTACTTTTTCATGGTTGGATGATCATCTGCTATCAATTTACCCTCTTGTGTCAGAAACCGTTCAGGTTGAAATGTCCATGGATCCGTCCAGAATCTTTCGTCATGGTGAATTCCAAACAAATTTGAAAATATCTGGAAGTAAAAATATTAAATTGGGTTTAACAATCTATCGCAAAAATCTTTTTGGCTGGGTTTTAAGTGGCACTAACACAGTAAATATCATACGGCGGCTTTCTAGATTTGAATACCAACAAAATGTAAGTATTCACTTACCATTTAAAACAACGTTCATTTTTTATTATACGGATGTAGATTGGAAACTTTTATCTGTTACAGTGTAACTGCTAGATACTCGTTATCTTGCTAAACAATTATTTTTGTTACAAAATACTGATGATGTTAAATTTAAGTGCCTGTGCAAAAATTTCTCGTTAAAGATATTTTTATACATAGCAAATGAAAGAAACTTTCTCTCAGGCTAATTGATGATTGAAGCACATTAAAAAATTGAATAACTTCTAATTATTATACGCTTTTTCATGTATATATACACATTGTAAAGCGATGAGAACTGATAAATGTGATTTTTCTCCTATAGTTTGAAGCGATGGTACATAATTCAAGAAAGATGTAGACTAAAACAGAGATTTATTGCTACAAAATATCAGTACATAAAGCGTTTCATTTGTAGAATTTCAAGTGTAGCCTCTCAATTGATTTAAATGACAAAATGATAATAGTTGTAACATAATGCTCAATATAATCCCATTGCTTTTGTTTTAACTGTGTAATATTTGGTAATCTTTTACCTGTGTATTTTTTGGAATATTGTATTTCTCAAATTTTGCTGCTCCAGACCTATTGCAATGCCTTGCTGATATAGGTAGAGGTGTGTGGAAGCGTTTAAGCTCCAGAATACTTGCGGCGGTATATGGCGTCTCGGTGAACCGGTCAATGGTTACTTGTTCAGAACTGTTTTGTACTTCTTGTCTGATTCTGTTCTGTATGTCTGGGTGGTGTGTTAGCACCAGAAATAATACTGATAATGTATGTTTCAGGGGAACAATGGCTGCAGAATAAAGAAAACACTGTTTGTTAGCTTTTATCATAGACAATTGGCATTAATCAGTTACTTTAAAATAATTTAATTGATAAACTTCAATGCAGGAGAGACTGGCCCAGTGTGTACCTCTTTAAAGTATGACCCAATTATGATAAGCCATTTTGGACGGAAACCATGATAAAACAGGGAACTAGATAACCATTCTTGAATTATATGGGACCAATTTTACATTCTTAAAAACATAACAATTTGAATACTAGTTATATTATATAACACACGCATTGTGATCTAAATTGTTTAGGGGAGTGGTGGCCTATTGGTTAAGGTATATGCCCCTTTAAATAAATATGTAAACTAAATAGTTTATGTTAGTTTAACATAAAATATCAACTATAATATCTATATGCTCAAAATAAGGGGTTGTATAATAAAACTAAAATAATGATACAATAATAAACATACCAGCTGCGGTGAGATCCATGATTACACCCATCATAAAGTCTTCATTCAGCCAAGTTTCCCTACTCTCCTCAGCTATACTAGCAGCCAGCTTCTTTAACATTGCCACCAGTCCATCTTCACTCTATAAAAGTCATTCTTTTGTTAGTAATTCTTAAATATAAAAGTGGAACTTTCTTGTCAATTAATGTCAGAAGTCATTAAACAGTGACTGTGAGACGTGCAGAGAAGTCATTCAACCAACAAAAACATACTGAAAACTTAAACACAAAAGAGAAAAGACGTGCTTTTTAAATTATGTCAGTACAGTAATTACTATATCAAAAGCAATGATTTACCTTATTTTCTGTGATGAAAAACTGTTTTATTTTTTCTTTCTCGTCATTGATTTGGTCATAAGCGTCTTTTAATTGACCAGGAATCTTGCGCACACCTGGTATTGTTGTAAGAATCGTTTGATTTTTAACTGTTCCAAGTTCATTTCCAGCTTCCATAAAGTTACAGAGACTTTTAAATTCGGGGTCTTCTTCTTTAATCCGTCTACCAGAAATCTGTTAAGAATTATTTTCGTTACAGAACATATGTAAAATTAACAGCACCTACACAATTTCCCCATAACTTTAACACTTAACTTGGTGGATACTGACCTAGCGGTTTATCCATTAACACTGACCTGGCAAAAACAAGTTATACTAACCTGGCGGATAACACAGTTTTACTGACCTGGCAAAAACAAATTATACTAACCTGGCGGATAACACATTTATACTGACCTGGCAAAAACAAATTATACTAACCTGGCGGATAACACATTTATACTGACCTGGTAAAAACAAAATATACTAACCTTTAGGATGACACTTAGAGTGACCTGGCAGTCTTTTTTATCGACTACATTTCAGTAACTTTTTTTAACATTTTCCCGTACAGCAAACGATACCCCAAAGTGACATTGGGATCTTGATATAGTACATTTAAAACAAACGTCCACTGAGTTAGAAATGACTTCTTCAAAGGAAATTAAATATGTAGGATAATTTTCAGTGCGTAGGTAACGCAATCTATGTTGTCTAATGGCCTTATTTGTGTAAAACGTTTAGTTTGATTCTTATATTTCATTAAACGGTAATGTCATGTAACACTTTCAAAAATAAGAAAACAGTGTATAGTTAAGAGTCAACATTGGGGAAGTAAAACTTTATCTTCCAGTTAATTATTCGTAGGTCGAATGACAAAAGTTAACATGTTTCGGACACCAAATCATGGCCATAAACTTATATTACTATTTATCATAATTTGATCAAGATAAGTCAAGAAAATTATAGTCTGCAACTGAAAATAAAATGTATTAGTAAAGAGCAAACGTTCAGTTTATATCAAATTACATAGTACTAGTAAAAGAAGATTGCCTTACCAAAAGTCCTATGACCTTGACACTGAATCTGTCTAGTATGTCAACAATATCAACCAATGCTGAATCTTCTGTTTGTTCTAATGTTTTAACAATGTCCCCACACTCTTCACAACATTTTTCATAGAACCATTTTTCCTGCATCAGCGTATTTTCTACATAATTCATAGAAGCTATCTTTAGGGTCTGTTGTATATCATCACAATTCCTAAACACGATATCTTGAGTTCGGTTTATAACATATTTACCCATGAAACTTGCTGGTCGGTCGTTAAATCTGTTGGCATGTTCACAAGTGATAAACATACTGCGTAGAATATCCGGATCGCTTATAACAAGAAAACTTTTCCCAAACACCTTAAACATGAACATGTCTCCGAAACGTTTCTGCCAGTCCATGAATTGTAAGTGCATATAGTCCGTGTCCAGATTAAATGCCTGCCCGATGATAGGTGGGCCACCTGGCCCCGGGGGTGCAGCCATGACTGGTTGTACTGTTTCGGGCTTTATATAAGCGGTTGCTTTCTCATGATTAAACGGACACCCGTTAGCTTTCTCTTCATGCATTCTGCAACAAAACATGGTAAAATATAACGGAAAACATATAGAAAAAACACTGTTAATTCGGCAAACATAACGTAAATCACAGCAAAACATAGAATGAAACACAGCAAAGTAACGTAAGATATATTTGTTTATTTCTCTTTATAACTAAGCTAATTATGTAGAATATATACTTATATTGCATTATGATCAGACAGCGTACACTTTTTGAAAATTTTAATATAATATTGACTTAACAAGATAATGCGTGAAATGATAGCAGTCATTACAGATTTGATAGACTCAATTAATGTACACATTTGCATACAAAATTACTAAATTGTTGACTATTAACATACTTCTATCCTGACCGATATTTTATACCGTGGGTAATATATAGTAGTTTTAAAGGGGGCAAAAAGAAATGAGCCGCGTCATGACAAAACCAACATAGTGGGTTTGCATCCGCGCAATCTGATGAGGATCCATGTTGTTCGCTATCAATTTCTCTACTTCTCCTGATGCGCAGTCGCAAACCCATTATGTTGGTTTTGTCGTGACGCGGCTCATATGTAATTACGAGCCACTTATTGCTGGTAAAACAGTAGAAGACATTTTGGATATCCGTGTTACATTAAAAAAAGGAGTAGTTCAAAACAATGAATCCACTTATACAAGCGGAAAAAATTCTTAAGAATTTGAAATGTTGTTAAGGGTGGGTAAATTGATTGATTTAATCTCTATGATGGGATTTTTATATGTTTGATACACGTTTAATTACTATAACATAATTATATTGAATCCAGCACACAGTAAGATAATCAATGTAAAATGAAAAAGCGATGACCAAACGAAGTTTGTATATTTATTTATTATATTATTTTATATATCTCTATCTTAGTGACAGGCATTTTTAAGAACCCGGATATATACAATATCTACAATTCATTGTCGTCACAATAATGATTTATCAATAAGCATTTGTTATTGTAGTTAAATAGACTGCAATAAAAAGAGTATTAAAATAGGGTATTCTGATGGGTTGACAGAATCGTTTGTATATTAAGAAACGCACAGGTGTCGTTTATCGCCGAAATCGTAACTTAAAACGACAAAAGTTTAAAGATGTATTGCTTTGGTCACGCGAGCTGGCTTAAGTGACAGGGTAATATGGTCAACAATTGTCAACAATAAACAACAACAAAACACGTTTGTCAGAAATTTATTAGACTTGAATTGAGTTTAACAGAAATAAAGGTTACTGTAGGTTGGTCATTGTAAATTGATTACACATAAATGAAATTATTAACGCGATTTAATCTACTTATAAACAGGGAAATTCAGCTTATTGAACTTAATAACATTTTACAAAGAAAGCTACGACTATAACCGAGGTGTTAATTTTAACTTGTATAAAGTCACTTAATCTTCTCTAAATACTTAAAACTCTGAATACCCTATGACAATATACGAAGTGTTAACTCATTCCCAAGCAAAGAGTAAGCTTAGCTTGATATAGATATGACCTGACTTACCCGGAGCAATTTAACATGTTCTGTATATCCGATAATACAAACAAATAAAAAACAAACTCAAAATAATTAACACAAGTATACAACGTCCTCGTATTGTTATATCGTACGTGTATATTAACGCTACCGACAAACAATTTCAGCGACTAATGTACTAGCTATGCTAATAAACTATCCAAGGTTTACAATAAAAAGAAAGAGAAATAAGATGCTCTCAGGCCTGACATACTGTAGAAGGTACGTCACATGTTTACACTATAAATGACAATGTAAATGGTTCTTTAATGTCTCTGAATAAGTAATTTCAATATCAACTTCCGTTGAAAGTAAAGGTGACACTGTCGGGTTACCTCAATAGAATCGGGCGACTCGGGTTCGATTCCCGGACAGTACAGGTCACTTTCGTTGTTATTGAAAATTAAATCCTTTCTACGGCCATTCGCACTGTACTTCTGCTTTGACATGTTTAGAAGTTTCAGTTTCTTGCAAAAGTGATGGCAGGAAGGATGCCGTGGCTAAACTGGTGACACACAAACAAAATTTCTTATGAATCATGTGACTCAATGCTCGAGTTTATCTTATCAATGAACAATTATTCATTTAAATCTTATGAATCAATGCTCGAAATTGATCATTCTTTTTAATCTTATGAATAAAATGCTCGATATTGATCATTCGAAAGAATCTTATGACTCAATACTCATTCTTATGAATCTCATAAATCAATGCTCGAATTTGAAAACACTTATGAATCACGCAATGTGAAATTGGTGTCATTATATTTTCCTGGACATTTGCTTCCTTCAGATAGATGAACATATGAGCCGTGTCACGACAAAACCAACATAATAGGTTTGCGACCAGCATGGATCCAGACCAGCCTGCGCATCCACACAGTCTAATCGGGATCCATACTGTTCGCTGTCAGTTTCTCTACTTGTAATAGGGTTGATAAGCGAAAAGCATGGATCCTGATTGTCAGACTGCGCGGATGCGCAGGCTGGTCTGGATCCATGCTGGTAGCAAACGCACTATGTTGGTTTTGTCGTGGCGCGACTCCAATATCCTATGTATATGATTTGAGGCGTAAGATTGTTCTGAAAAAACCTTTTAACATTACTTTTGGTGATTCACAAAAAAAACAACATTAAAAATATAACAACAGCAACAAACCAACAGGATGCTGTAATAGAAAACTGATTTGCAATATTAATGACACTTACCTTTCTATCCAATTGTTTAATTCACGGTTTTTATCAGTAAATATGAGTCTTTAATTAATGCCTGGAACTGTTTGAAAGATATACTTATTGACAATATAATAGTAATTTACTTCATTAATGTTCCAAAACTTTATGTTGGTTTTACATGTGACATAACTACTTAAAATTTGTGTTTGACACAAATGCAACATTGCCTTTAGTAGAACATTCCTTTTGTACTACATAAAGACGTTTATTGTACATTGTTATATTTATGTAAACGATCTATTTTGTACACGGTTATGTTTGTACATCGAGCAACGCATGTAAATTTACCGAATTTAAAGAATTAATTTAAAGAGTTAAAGTCATTTAACATTTACTAACCTGATATCTTAAAAAAAACGACGAAAATGATATCCTTTTAAGCTAACTGTTCAGAACAATCCTTCTTCATTCACTTGAGAGGTAATAAAAAAATGAAGTAATTAAATAGATGAGATCGGGGGAAAACCATAAGGATGTTGAGGTAACAGCACTTAGAAATTTTTGTTAAACTTCCCCCCTATATAAGTACGTCAGTATGTCATACAAATGGGTTTTTAAAGCGCGAAAATTTGTACGGTTGCTAAACAAAGTCTTAAGTCGAGTAGATGAATTCTCCTCTCTTTAATCTTTTAACTTGACAGCATGTAAATGAAAGCAACAAACTCTGTTTATTTTTGCGTAAATCATTATTAACCCTTATTATGCTAAATATCTAAAATGGACTTATTTTTCTTTCCATCTAGACAAACCGTCTTATGTTGTTAGTATAGCCATTTAGTATATAACATTACCAGTTTTTCACAGACTTCTTATTCTTTCAAGCATTTAAAAGAGTTTTTTTTTCATTGGGTAAAATTTACTAGACCCTTTCTAGACCTTTCTAATATATTTGAAGGTATAAATAAATAAAATGAATAAAAAAAACAACAAAACTGGTAACTGTTGGACTATTGTCACAATGCTTTACATTAATCAAGCCAAGTTTCATAACACTAGATGTCCCTCTTGATAATATTTAACTTAAACATGTGTGTAAGTGAAAGACTTAAAGAAGTTATTCTATAGAAAAAAAGGGTTTGCGGATATTATAAGCAAGCATTTACTCATTTTCAAAAGAAACTAATTTATTACATTCGATATAATATTTTCAAACAACAACAATATCACAGCCTGTCTCGTGAATAATTTAGTGTAGGAAAGAAGCTACTATCAATATTTTATTTCGAAAATCGAAGTTGTAAGAATATAACCTTTTACAGGTCTGTCAAAACAATTGTTAATAAGGATAAATGATGAAATTCAAAACGTTTGTCAAGATCAAAATGGCGCACTGCAGTCTGACAATAGTTTCTATTGTTAGTGCTGATAAGAACAAGCTCGGGTATATGAACATAGATATCTCATCACCGAGTATTCTGCTTCTAGAATATTGTATATTTGCACGTGAAAATGATGATATATTGGCCTGGGCAAGATGTCGTAAATTTAAACCAGAACTTATCAAATAAAACTCCATTATAGGTTGTTTTGAAATGTTTATCGAAGCAGTACACGAACCCTAAGATGGAACAATTTTAAACCCAACATTTCATAATACCCGTTACCAACCGTCCGACGTGTGTCACCAATGACAGGTCATCCGGGTGAGGGACATGGAAATCATTTTAAAATCTGGACATAATAGTAAGAAGAAGTTATCAGTCATTCAGACGACATCAAAGAAATTATCACATATACACATGTACGGGGAGATGATTCATTGTTCGCATCACTTGAATATAACACCTATATATGATAATTACATTTAATTGATAATATTGTTATTACTTTAACAGTTCAGCAAATAACTGCTGACAATTAAAAACAAACTACTAGCAATACTTGTATAAGCATCATTTGGCTTATACAAAATATATTTCAGTGCGATTTGTAGACATCTAAAAGCGTACAGACATACTTTCGCGCCTGTTCCCGGAATCAACTAGTATTGAGCAATGAGTGTAGCCCCTGATGGGGTTTGAATCCATACGTCTGACGATTATTTGGTTACTATTCCGACGCATTTACCACTATTTAATCCCGCATCATTTGAATGCACGAAATTGAAAACTTGCAGAATATCTGTAAAACCACCAAATACGCTAAAGTTGTTTTAAAGCAGCACGCCTCCAGATTCCTGCTAATGTTCATGAAAATTTTGAAAATGTATTCAAAAGTAAAATATTGTTAAGCTGACAGAGGAA